ATTTCAAAATTTTATTGTGATGATATTGAAAAAACAGTTTTTAGAATTGCGTTTAGTCATTTATCTTTGTATTCGTTCATTTCGAAATCGCTACTGACAAAAGTATTAAAGAAAAAATTGGCAGCTTTCTATCGACGACCATTAATAGAGATTACGGAAGAAAAATAGAACCGTAACTGAGCAACGCCCAATATTGAGCAATGAAATAAGTATCGCCAAAATAATGAAAGTCGATGCCCACTATCTTATAGTGAGAGTATAATACAGTAGTTTATATATATATAATATATATATATATATATATATATATATATATATATATATATATATATATATATATATATATATATATATATATATATATATATATATATATATATATATATATATTATATGAAACATACAAACAAATGATACAATACTTGTATGACTTATTATATATGTATAGACTTATGAATTCTAATAGTTTTGTAAATGAAGCTAAGCAATGGATAATAGATCCTAACGAAGTTCAAGTTTCATTTGATATAGTCAATTTATATCCATCCATACTCATTGACGAAGCAGTTCCGGTTATTATTGATATATTGAACGCTGACATTGATGACTTAAAAACTCGAACTAAACTTACTCTTGCAGACATACATCAATTAATTGAACTTTCATTAAGTATATGCTACTTTTTATATGAAAACAATATCCGAATAATACCTAATTCAAGTCCTGTAGGTTTATCTTTAATGGTTGTTATGGCGGAAGCGTTTTTACAAAAAATAGAAAGAAAAGCCCTTAACATAGCAATTATTCATACATCCGAACCAAAAACTTACAAGAGATATGTAGATGATTGTCATGCTCGCTTTGCTTCAATAAAACAACAACAAATGTTCCTGAACATCCTTAATGAACAACATCCTGCCATAAAATACACAGTGGAACTTGAAAACGACCTCAAACAACTCAATTTCCTAGATATTAACATTACAAACACAGGCTCTGGAACTTATGAATTTCAAATACATAGAAAAGAAGCTATTACAAATGTTCAACTTAAACCTAACTCGAACATTAATCCTAACATTATTATTGGCGTTTTCAAAGGATTTTTATGTCGTGCTAAAAGAATATGCTCTCAAAAACACCTTCAAAAAGAAATTGATTTTCTAATAGACATCTTTGTTGAAAATGGCCACGACAAGAACATTCTAAATAATATTACTATAGACTATTTAAAAAACGGTTCAAAAAACACCACATTTCAACAAAAAGATACCCAACCCTTTATAAAACTACCTTGGATACCAATTATTGGTCCAAAACTTCGTAAAGAATTTTGAAAGCAAAACATAAAGGTTATTTTCACATTAACTCCCAATTTAAAAAATATTTTCTGCAACAAAAAACTAAATTACCACTAAACACAGACCCTGGCGTATACCAGCTAAAATGTTCATGCGCTTCGATATACATTGGCGAAACTAAAAAAAGGTGATATCGAGATGTATTGAACACCAAAAAACAGCTTAAAAGGAAAATGGTCCAGTTCGGGTGCAACTGAGCATTCTAAAACATGCCATGGTAAGTTTGATTGGTTGCACCCCAAAACATTATCTGTAGCCCCAGAATATCGAACTCGGAAAATCAGAGAGTCACTCGAAATAAGCAAGGCTAGGGTTCAACAGGAGTTGAGAAATGGTGACGTGGTTCTCAATCGGGATGACGGTAATAACGTAACAACCAAAACCTGGGGGCCATTTTTAATAAAATCTGCTGACGTCAGTTGTTTGAAAAGTTTTTTTCTGTTTTATATTATGGCTTTTTAATGTTATCTTTTTAACGGTTTGTTTTTACTATAACGATTATGTAACTATTTTGTTTATTATACCTGATGACGCTGATCACAATAGATCAGCGAAATATCGAAATAATTATATATATATATATATATATATATATATATATATATATATATATATATATATATATATATATATATATATATATATATATATATATATATATATATACATATTTTTTGTACCTGTACTTAAATAGCATTGATTTTATTTTGTTATATTTTGATTTTGGAAAACTCTATACCTCTTTTTTTCATTTGTATCTGTTTCGTATAACTTCAAATAAATATAATGATTTCGAATTTTTTTTTCTTAAAGTGTGTTCTATAATCATTGTCATCTCCTAGACTATAACCTGTTTAACTCAAAAGAATAATGCAACCTAGTACTATAGTATCACTTAAACAAGAAAATTGTTATAAATTTTAGTTGTTACAAATTTGTAGAAGGCAATATTTTTTATTATTTTTAATAATAAAAATTTAATCAAAAATACTCAATATATTGCCTTAATTTAATTATATATATTATATATATCAGGATAATATTGTAAACTATATTAGGCCAATAATGGCCAGTATAATATCCACATTATTGGCGCGATATTATTTACAACATTGGCGCAATATTATAAACTATATCGGGCCAATGTTGCAATGTGAACATTTTTCCAATATTGACTTTACAGTATTGGTGCAATATTGTATCGCCAATATTGGCCAATATTGACTTAACAATATTGGCGCAATACTGTAGCGCCAATATTGACTTAACAATATTGGTGCAATAATGTAGCGCCAATATTGGCAAAATATTCACATTGCAACATTGGCCCGATATAGTTTACAATATTGCGCCAATATTGTAAACAATATCGCCCCAATATTGTTTGCTACAAGGGACATGAAATTCTGAGTAGCAAATAATATTATAAATATTAGCATTTAGCTAATTCCTGATACTGCGGGTAACAGTAATATATACTATATAGCTCTAGTTTATCTATTGAGCACTCTTTAAAGTATACATTATTATACATGATAATATAAAGATACTATCTTTAATACTCACATATATACACTTACGTATATATATATATATATATATATATATATATATATATATATATATATATATATATATATATATATATATATATATATATATATATATATATATATATATAATATTAATAATAATAATAAACTAAATATTAAATTATATATATATATATATATATATATATATATATATATATATATATATATATATATATATATATATATATATATATATATAATTATTTCGATATTTCGCTGATCTATTGTGATCAGCGTCATCAGGTATAATAAACAAAATAGTTACAAAATCGTTATAGTAAAAACAAACCATTAAAAAGATAGCATTAAAAAGCCATAATATAATACAGAAAAAAACTTTTCAAACAACTGACGTCAGCAGATTTTATTAAAAAATGGCCCCCAGGTTTTGGTTGTTATATATATATATATATATATATATATATATATATATATATATATATATATATATATATATATATATATATATATATATATATATATATATATATATGTATATATATATATATATATATATATATATATATATATATATATATATATATATATATATATATATATATATACATATATATATATATATATATATATATATATATATATATATATATATATATATATATATATATATATATATATATAATATTAATAATAATAATAAACTACTACATCGCGGAGTCATCAAAATATATATTTTGGAAAAGATGTTTTATATTCCATATCGCTCATGAATATAGAATTTTCTGGATCCATATACAATGCATCTTTATATTTTACTTTTGAGTGCGAGGCTTTACACAATTTCATCACAAAATTAATCATAAACAATACAAAGATTTTATGCCATAAAGATGAATGGCAATCTTTTAGTATAGTAGTTAAAGTAGCATATTTCAAGTCGCTCAAAATATCATTTTCAAGAACAGAAAAGTAATGTTTAGAGTTTATTATATTTGGGTTAATTAATTCAATTTTAAAAATATCTTTATTATTTACTCTAGAAATTTTATTTATATCTCTATTTACATGAAAATCGTTAAGAATATTCTTCTCGCTTACTGGTTCGCACAATTCTTGTAACGTAAGAAAGGGAGTTTATATAGAAAAAGCGTAGTTATAACTAAATTAAAGTCTAAATTTGCAGAGTTTTGCAACATTCTTCTTGCTTGATAAATTGCACTGTATCAGTGACATTTTAATTTTAGAGTTATTAAGGTTCGACAAATCAAGGATTTTTTAACTAGTTGATGTATATGGGCAATTCCACCATTGGTTACGGGACATTTTGATTTTTGTAATGTCACATTTTTAGATATATATTTATTTTAACAAGTTAGATGTTTATATATTTATGAATCACTCTAAAAGCATTTATTTGTTTATCTGTATATTGAAATTTCGTTTAATTATAATAAGTTTTGGAATTATAGTTGATTATATGCTATGTTACTTACGGGACGCAAAAAAAACATTGCATTAAACCTGTTATGCAGTTGAATATTTCAAGCCAAATATTTTCCCAACTTAAACTCGCTTTTTAAATTAAGTATTATTCTTTTTGCTTTGGGGTACTACTTGTACTAGAATAGTTAAAACAGCAGTAAATTAAAGACCTAATATTATTTTTCAAACTTCCGCGTTCTTTATTTTTTCTTTTCTTTTTAACAAATATTTATTTTTAATTATTTTTATCTATGATTGTTTATAAATTGCAATAAAGAATTAAAAAAAAATAGTAAAAATTTTTGTACATAGACGTATGAAAAAATTCTGTACCTCTAACTATAGCTTTTATATTTACCCAAGAGAGTTTCTTTAATAAAAACTCTAAGAGTTTAAAACTTTTTTTTTTTAACTTGTGTATCATAATCGTCTCTTGTAACTTTAGACGTTTTTTTTTCGAACACATTAATTTTTTAATTCATTTAAAAATCTCATCTCACAGTCTAAACATACGTAAATTTAGAGTTTTACTAAAAATTTAATTCTAACGCTATAAAATTCAACGACCCTCTGGGTCTATTTATTAATTCAAAAGAACTTCTAAGTGATAAAAAATATATTTTTTTCAGTATCAAAATCCTTTCTTAAGCATAAAGGGATTCTTTGATATTTATCATTCGTTGCAAGTCGTTGGTTCTCTTTGGCGCAAATCGATTATAATCACAATCGTAAGTTGAGTGCATGATGGTTTTGTCATGATTCACAGTTTTTTTTACATTATGAGCAGTCTCAGATGACATGGAGGACAAACTTTGGTCTAAAAAATGTACCTGCCTTTCACAAATGTTTGATTTATTTTCACCATGACCAATTGACATATTGTTTTGAGTGATGGTGTTGAGACTCTTGTATGCATTTTCTCGAATTTTCAAACATTGGTTATCCAATTGAAGAGACTTTGATTTTATTTCCGAATCTTTTTCAATACGTGCTAAATCCTTCAATAGCTTTTGCATAGCAACTTCAGCCTTTTGATGTTTTTCTAACAAGGTTTCAACCGTTAATCGTAGTTCACCAACTTCCTGAGAGAGTTGCCTATATGGATTATCTTGACATAACTCTACATTCCTTCGCAAACTTCTACATTCCAAACGAGTGTGTGCAACCTGAAAAAAAATTGCATATTAATTTTTATTTTAACTATGAACTTATAAAGGACAATTTTTATTACACTACTACCAGAAGGTATGCTTATGCTGTTATCAAAAAGTATGCTTATGCTGCTATCAGAAAGTATGCTTATGCTGCTATCAGAAAGCCCAATTAGAATCATAACTTACATTTTACTTACTCTTTTAAGTTAAAAAAATTATTAAAGGTTTGACTTAATTCAAAAGCATATTAACTACCAACTATATAAAGGATTGTTTATTTGGATTTCTAAGCTTTTGATATATAAACATTTTTTTTAAACTACTGTAACTTTTCTCTTAGGGGCTTTAATCACAATGTATTTTAAAATTACTGGTATGTTAATGCTGGTTTAGGGTATAAAAAAATTGGGTTTTTTAAAATAAAAGTTATTTTGGTCAAAATAAAATTTATTAAAACTTTTAAATAAACAATATACAAATATATTAGGATATAAAGTTTATATTATGACATGTACAAGTTAAGAACTTTTATAAATTTACTATAAGATAAAAATCATAAACCATAAAAACTTAATAAAAATGTTGTATGTAAAAAGTCCTATTAAACCATTGGTAGAATATGATTTAGTATCACAAACAAAAATGCCCTCTCTACAAACAACCTCCAAGATGATTGTCTGTGAAAATAATGATTGACAAGTATCAGGGGAAATACTCCAAATGGTGTTGAGCAGCAGCTTAATGGCTTTGTAAACTTTCTAGACCTATGTTACTAAGGCCTGCATTTATTAAATAAAAAAAAATTTGATGAAATAAGAGATGCAATACCAACTCAGAAAAAAAAAAACACCTAACAAAAGCTCCAGTGAGTAGCACCAACATAGGATATAAAAGTTTCTAATTTTAACTACTATAATTTGCTTAGATAAACACATAATATGTTATCACACAGTTTGTACCATCTAAATTGGCTTAGGAAATAAAAAATTAGAAAATTTTTAGGGTAATAAAAAGTAATGAAGTCTCACTACCCAGTTCTTTCTGACTACACAGTGTATCAGCATATATAAAGACAGCATATGTAACATTGTGAGATAGGACTTGAGGAAACAATTACAACCAAATAAAAAGAAAAATTCACAATAAAAATTTTAGATACGTTTAAAACTATAGTTTTTCATTTTTCAAATATTTTAAGGATAAATCTTAAGTTTTCATTTACAACAACTCGGCTAAAAAAATTTATATAAGAATTGTTTTTTATTGTGTAAAATGCAAAATAAAATTTGTTTATGACCAACAAATAGTCCAGGAACTGCCTAATAACTTGATATTGCACTTTTCAAGCCTCTAAAAGTAACATGAAAAGAAACATTGGATGAATGAAGACAAAAATTAATGCAGATATCTCAAAGGATGTATTAATATGCTTACTAAACAAATACATAGTTTCATTCAGCCACAAAACCATTTAAAAAAAATGTAAAACCAGGATTCAAAGAAGTAGGCATTGATCCTTTAAACAGGTACCAAGTATGCAAAAGTATTAAAAATCATTTACCCTATACATATATATATATATATATATATATATATATATATATATATATATATATATATATATATATATATATATATATATATATATATATATATATATATATATATATATATATATAGGGTATATATATAATCCAAAAGCACACTTGAAATCTACCAACAGTAAAGAATGGAGGTGGAAACATTATGGTCTGTGGTTGCTTTAATAGAGATTGTGTCGGTCTTATCCATTTGATTGATGGCATAATGGACAAAAATATGTACAAAGATATCATTAAGGATGTTATGCTACCTACATGCTGAAGACAAAATGCCTTGAGGATGGATATTTCAGCAGGACAATGACCCCATATGATATATATATATATATATATATATATATATATATATATATATATATATATATATATATATATATCAAGCCTTCCCGGGAACACTTAAAGAAATTTTTTTAGGCAACTTGACCACATTTTTATATAGAAAGCATTTTAAGAATTTGCGGCAAAATAAAGCTATAAGAAACTAGAGAACAAATCAGCAAAACTTGAAGAAAAGAACTGAAGCCTATAGGAGATAGAAAATCTAAGTAAAATAAGTTAAAAAAATATTAATAAAAAAAAAGAAAATTGTTGTCAAAAAAAACAATATACCTGAATATTTTCTCTTTTTGTTTTCTTATTTTTAGAGCGTTTGTTATTTTCGACTACCAAAATTGATACAAGTTAAGGAAAAATGTAGATAAGAATATAACGAAAATAAAAATATTTTTTGATTTACAATTTTTTCGCAACTTTTTTCAGTAAGTGTATAAAAGAAATGCTTTATAAATTGCGCTAGAAATGAGGGCAGTTTTTAAATTTGTTTTTCAAATGTCTTTGCTAAACTTTACTGTTTTTATCAATGGACAGGAAAGCGAAAAAACTAATTGCTATTTATTTGTGAAAAATTCTCTTTATTTTAAATAAGTTTTTCATGTAACATAATAAAACGATGCTGCAAAATTTTTTGGGCTAGTGCATTGTTAACTTACTGAACTTTCTTAACAAAATTTTTAGAAGCCTATTAAAGCTTTTGTTCAAGTTTTTAATTCAATTTTTTAAACAGAGAAATCGTTATGTTCATTATCTCTAGTAATTTGTATTAACATTGGAAATTGGGCAATATAAAAGAAACAATTTCATGCATGCATCAAATGTGATAAATACATTTTTTAAAGAAGTTATTCTTTTATTTAACTTATTCCGTCATTAACAAAATTTATTAATTAAACAATATATATATATATATATATATATATATATATATATATATATATATATATATATATATATATATATATATATATATATATATATATATATACACACACATATATATATATATACACACATATATATATATATATATATATATATATATATATATATATATATATATATATATATATATATATATATATATATATATATATATATATATATATATATATATATATATATATATATATATATTCTTTCAAACTCAATTATAAAAATAGTATAAAATACTTACATTTAGTGGAGCAATTTTAGCTTCCAATGCTTTCTTAATAGCTTCTATGTCATTTTGTAAAGTTTGAATTTCATCTAGTGTCTAAATTAAAGTGGTTCAATTGTATAATCATATCTTATAAAAATTTATTAATAAAAACTTAAGATAAGGGAATATAAAAAGAAATAATCAAGTTTTGGAATAGCTTCAAAACAATATAGTATAATAATACAACTTTTTTTTAGGTATAAGTATATTCTATATACATGAGTTTTAATATAGTTGCTGAATTAGATGTCAAGTTCAAGGCAAATAAATTATATACTCTGATATTTGTGCTAAATCCTAGTCACCTGAATATTATAGTCAGTTTTAAACGGTTAGATCACATTATACCCTCAGTACCTGATTACGATGATGATTTTTTTTTAATTCTGATTCACTTCGAACAAGGCTGCAAGCAACCACTATTAAGTTGGGAGTTACTAGAAAAAAAGAATAGAGTAGTAGAGCAAGGAAACACTTGACAGAAGACTTAAAAAATTGAAGGTTATATGAATCAGAAAAACATGAAGATGGGAGAGAGTTCCAAAGGATTTAGGTGTGAGGAAAAAAACCAGATGAATAAAAGTTTTTAGAGAATGCAGGGACAGAATAGAGAGCATCATTCATGAGCCAGCCCAAATATGACAACAGTATAGGGACAAATAAGAGATTTGTAGAGATAAAGAATGTAATCAGGAGAGAGAAAATGAATTGAACTATTATTTAGCTCTACCCATATTTTCTCTATTTAATTAACTGCAATACAATAACAAACAACAGAATCTTGAAACTAATTAAAAAAAAAACTAATTATGAACTCTTTGATGTATATAGGGCAAACCACTTAAAAAAAAAAAAGAACCATTTTAAACAAGTTTAAAAAGAACATTTAAAAAAAAAAGTTTTTAACTGTTTTGATTAAGATTCTGTAAATGAATAAATAACTTAGTTAATTAGTTAATAATTTAATTAACCTTTTGACGTTGCCATTTTAACTCATCTTGAACTTGTTCAGTTTCATTTATTCTTTTTCTAAATGCATAATCTGTTAGTTTTTTTTTATATTCAAAGTCATTTTTTGTTTTTTCTAGTGTTGCATAAATTTGATTTCTGACATTTTGGGAAGCTTTAATGGCAGCTTCAGCACGGTTTTTATTTTTTTCTGAAAATGAACGCCATTTTTCGAATGTTACCATTTCTTTGGGAATAGATGTAGAAATCAATTGAGTAGTTAATTGATTACAATTTCCATTATTAAATTGTTGACATTTTGAATCAATACCTAATGCATGATGTTTATCAGACAAATCATTAGAAAGTTCATTCCGAGTTTCTTGTAAAAGAATAAGTTGTTCAAAACAAGCATTTAATTTTTGTTGTAAGTGATTTTTTATTGACCCAATGACCTCAACATCCTTGTGTAACTCTTCTTCAACTTTATCTCTAACACAGTCTATTCCCTCTCTGTTTTCTCGTACCATTAAACACTCAATCGTTTTGTTGTGAAAATTTTTGGCTGTTTCTAAAGATAATTCCGTATTCTCTTTATAAAACTGTAAAGCGTCGATTTCTTTATTAATATCCACTAAGTTCTTCTCGAGAAATGTTTTCCATTCATTTATATCATCAATTCGATCTGCAAGTTTGCAATTACTTTCATGTTGTGTCCAAACAGTAAAATTATCTGTATCGTTTATCAAACGTCGAGCTTCTTGTCGAGTGGAGTGTGATGTATCTCGTGAATGTTCAGCATTACCTTGTAAAAGCTCATTAGAAGTACACCAATCAGACATATCATACTTTTGTTTAAACTTTGATGTCATTTTCTTAATAAAATAAAACTAAACAGATAAATTTATTTTCAAATACTTCAGTAAAATTGAATAAATATAAAATAGCTTTGTAGGTGTTCATTTCCAGCAAGTTCAACCCAACGTGTTTGTAAACATGCCAATAGAAAGATTTTGTTTCTTGTAAGTTAGTAACTAATAGCAACAAGCATGTATTTGTTAATTGATGTAATTCATGCAAAACGACACGAACTAAAGGCGGACAAAAATATTCGCGCAAAGAGAATTTTTTCGTCGATAAGCATGCGCCAACCGTCGATAACCATGTGCAAAACATTTCTGTGTCAAATTAACAGAAATATTTTATCTGCGCGTTTATCATGTTTATCAACTAAAAAATTTGCTCCACGCAAATATTTTCGTCATGTGGAAATCCGCCTAGAAACTGCAAACTTTTTCTTTTTTACGTCGATCAGAGGCGTTTAGTTAAAAATGTAACAAACAAATAAAATTAAAAAAATGTTTAGCACGCTGTTGTTACGTACGTTGCTGAAGCCACTATGTAACAATGTGACTTTTTAACTAAGAAACACCAATTTTCATGACTAAAATCCAAAATCTTATTAAACTATACTATTTTAAGTTGTCAAATAAATAATGAGATAAAGCTTGACAAATTTTTTGCTCGTTTGCTTTTCTCAACAAAAAAATTAAAATATATATATATAATAACAAGCAAATACAAACAGTTATTTGGTTTGTGAGGTTTTGACAACAAACAATAACAACAACTAAAATGTTTTTTTAAAAAGCAATCTTTTTCTTAATCTGGTAAACTCTATAATCTTTCCTTTTTTTTTAATTTTATATTTGTAGTTTATTATTATTATTATTATTTTTTTTCATTTATTATTATTATTATTTTTTTCTTTATATATTTTTTTCTTATTCATTACTTTAGTTTGAAGTGTTCATGAAGACAGCATGACTTGTACATGAAGACAGTATGGGAGGAGAGGGCTGGGGGAGAGGGAGGTTAGAGAGGGTCTTGGTAGTTACTTTTTAATCGTATAACAAGTAAATAAAGTTGGATTTGTACTTTTTTCAACTAAGAATTCGAATGTTGAAAAAAATTCAATTTAAAAAAAAAAAATGGACTTAGCTCTTTTTAAAATAAAAACCTTCAATTAGTAGCTAAAATACTTCAGTGATTTTTTTAAATTTAATAAAAATTTAAATATAGTTTACGTCATCATCTTGATATTTTTAATTTATATTTATGTTAAAGACGAAAAAAATATCATAATAATAAGTATCAAGAGCAATAATAATAATATAATAATAAATAACAATAATAATAATATTGTGAGAAAAAAGAAGAAGAATACTTAAAGACAACAATCAATAGTAAATCAAGATGATTCATAGAAAGAAAAGAAATACACCAAGTTATCGTGATTAGTACACAAACTAAACGCAATTAATTGTCATTAAATTGTATATAACAGCTTGAACAGATAACAAACTTCTAAACACTTTTAAAAAAGTTAGTTGTATTTGAGTTTAAACTCAACTTTTGTATTTATTGGCTTTGAATGGTCTACCGCTTAAGGTTACTGTGTTACTTGTATTATCGCTTAAGGTTACTGTGCTACTTGTATTATCGCTTAAGGTTACTGTATTACTAGTATTATCGCTTAAGGTTACTGTGCTACTTGTATTATCGCTTAAGGTTACTGTATTTCTTGTATTATCGCTTAAGGTTACTGTATTACTTGTATTATCGCTTAAGGTTACTGTGCTACTTGTATTATCGCTTAAGGTTACTGTATTACTTGTATTATCGCTCAAGGTTACTGTGCTACTTGTATTATCGCTTAAGGTTGCTGTGTTACTTTTATTCTTTGATTGATTAGTTGCTTGTATTTTTACTGTTTTACTGTATTACTTGTATTGTTTAAGCTATTAAACTGTTACTGTATTATTTACACTGTACTAAAGTGATGCAAAAATTTTTTTTTTTTTTTTTTTTTTAGGTTATTTAGGTGCTCCCAGAAGTCCTTACGGTCTTATCACGGAGCACCGCGAAAGAGCTTTAATTAGAAGTTCAAGCCTCCTTCTTTACCAATGTCGTTTATTGGGCTAGAGCCGGCATCAAACCTCGGACCTCTATTCTACCATCGGACCTCGGACCAGAATTCTAACCACTGCGCCACGGCTGCACAATTTTCAAAATTTCTTCCTTTTGAAAATAAAAAAATGAAAGAGTGTCTACTATTTATATAATTAACAAAAGTTCTTTACTTTTTGACTGATAAGTAACACAAACTTAAAAAGTTAGTATAAGAGAAGGGTAAACGTCTAAAAGCTAATTTTTTTGTATTACAAAAAACGGTAGTGACGATTGAATAATTTTTCTTCTATAAAGGATACTTTTGAAATTTCTTCTTTTTGAAAATAAAAAAAAATGGAATAGTATCTACTATTTATATAATTAAGAAAAGTTCTTTACTTTTTGACTGATAAGTAGCACAAATATTGTCAACATATTGTTATTACAAAACTGACTTTACACCGTTTTGTTATTTTAAATCTACCTATCTACAAAATGAACTAAAAATAAATTTGCAAGAACAGGTGTTTGTGGAGCTCATAGTTGCGCCATTAATTTATATGCTTATGGAATAATCTCTGTGAACAAAACCTATAAATATTACGTTTAACATTTCAACCATGAATGCAACAGAAAAGGTTTGTCTGGCTACAGATTCTCGTCAAATATTGAACAAATTGTTAACCAAATAAAATTTCTTCCTGCAGCAATCTCTCAGCTAGATATTATTTTACAGCTAATTTATTTTGAGATTAAAACTGTAGATTTATTTAGTTAAAATCAGATGTATTTGTACACAAGTACCACGTGGTTTTCATGATAATCAGAAGAAAATTCGAATTCAATAATTAGATGAAAATTCGAATTTTTTGTTATAAATCAAGATGATTAATGAATACACCTATCCAACTTAAATTCTACCATTTTGCGCGGCGGGGACTGAACTCTAATTATGTGGGTAAAAGTCGAAAAAACTTCCTAAATATTTGTATTTGAATTAGTATTTTATTTGTATTTATCTCATCTTTTGAATTCAACACGATGGCAAAAGGTAACTGTGCAGTAATAGGGTGTTCGAATAGCCATTATAACCTTTTGAAGTGGAAAAAACAAGAATGTAATGTTCATGAAGGTTTAAAAAAAGAACAATGTGGTTGTAATTGTCCTTTCAATCTTTACTGTTTTCCAAGTTCTTTAAGAAATTCTAGAGAATAAGAAAAGTGGAAAATTTTATTAAAAAGGGAAGGTAAAAATAAGAAAAAATGGAATCCGTGCGACAGTGATCGTGTATGTTCGATGCATTTTGTAGATGGAACACCTACCATTGCTAATGCAGACCCTACTTTAAATATGGGATATAATTCTACTAATATTAAGCCAAGAAAGAGTTTAAATAAACGTTGTCCAAAATCGAACTTTTTAATTTTGAAAGGTATTAGCACAGAATGTAATGACACTAATAATATTACAACTAAAGATAATACCAATGAGTTATGCAGTAGTAATAACGGTAATGCAATTTATCTACCACAGCCAAGCTGTGAACATACATACGCTAGCCAGTCATTGCTAAATATGTGTGAACGATGTAATTCTAAAACATCTTTGATTGATTCTCTTTTAAAAAAAGTTAATTTCTTGAATATATCCTTAAAACAACTAAATCAAAAACAAGTTAATCAAACAAAGAAATCAGTGATTTTTTCATGCAACAAAGTTAAAACAGACAAAAAATGAACTTTTATACAGGGATATCTACTATAGCTTTATTTAATGCCATCTTCTTACTTATTATACCATTTCTTCAAAAGCTTAGTTACTGACGAGGACCAAAACATGTTCAGAATACTAGCAAATTAAAGCGAAGATTTCAGTCAACTAAATATAGAAAACTTTTTCATCGTGACGAATTTTTTTTAACACTTATGCAACTTCGTCTTCGTATTCTTAATGAAGACATTGCAAAACGATTCGAAATTTCTCCTACTACTTCTTCTAACATATTTTCAACATGGATAAAACTTATAAGCAATGTGTTAGGTAGTGCTCTTATCGTATGGCTTCCACCTGAAATTATCAGGGAAAATTTGCCTAGGGTTTTTAAGAATGCAGGATATTACAAGTGTTGTGTGATTATTGATTGTGCTGAAGTTTTTATTGAACGACCCAAGTCTCTCTTAGCACAAGCCTCAACTTGGTCTGATTATAAACAACACAATGCGTTTAAGTTTCTTGTAGGAATTTTGCCTAGTGGTTTTATCACTTTTTTATCTGATTGTTATGGCGGAAGATGTTCAGATAATTTTATAACAAAAGACAGTGGTTTTTATGACTTGTTAGAGCGTGACGATGAAGTCATGGCAGATCGTGGATTCCAAATCCAGGAAGAAATTTTGTTAAGATTATGTACTTTAATAATTCCTCCAGGTGCTCGTCTTAAAAGTCAAATGATTGCATCTTAATGTAAAAAAACTAAAAAAAAAGCAAACTTAAGAATACACGTTGAACGAGTCATTAATAGAATGAAAACTTATAGAATTTTAAAGAATGTTTTTCCTCTAACAATGTTGCGTCATGTTGATGATATTGTGAGGGCTTGTGCTGCACTCTGTAACTTAAAACCTGTGTTGGTCAATAATTCAAGATATGAAAATATAAGACCTAGAATAAGAATAATATTCAAGGAATGTGTTAGCACAGGAATCTGTACTAATACCTTTCAAAACTAAAAAGTTCAATTTTGTATAAAGTTTATTTAAACTCCTTCTTGGCTTTATGTTAGCAATGTTTCGAAAAAAAAAGCAAATAAGTTTGGAATGCGTTTATTTTCTCCAGCAAGTCTAGGGTCAGGAATCCCTCCCCTTCCTCTGCCTTTTCAGAGCAGGCGTAACAATTGTAGTAAAGGATTATGTTTAGTCGCTAAAATCTTAAACTTTGTTTATTTTTATGAGATAAATCACTGTTTTAGTTAATAATTTTAAATTGTTTATAAATTAGCTAAGTGGTCATGACCTCCTAGGTGTCCATTTGAGAGGTGTTTAGAACAATCATATTTAGGGGTCATCCATGTATTACGTACGCAGCAAGAGTTTAGGTGTCCTAAGTTGTGTAATTTGCGTAGGTTAGGGGTAGATGGGTGAATGTTTGTATGTAAATTAAAAAAATTGAGATGGCAGTTCACGTTCACTTGCCAATTAGTCAAAGGTGATCGCCGCCCACGTTCATGGCCTGCTAAGGTTATAAAAGTTAAACAGCGCAAAAAAATGAAAAAAAACAGCACAAAATTAATTCTAAAAAAATTAATACTAATGTTAACTTATTTCTAGAAATTAAACTTACTAAAGCTTCAAGTTTTAATAAGATTAAAAACAATGGGGGGGGGGGGGGGATTGGGGGAGGGGTATGAAAATGTCATTATGTCGAATCAAGATTCTTGCGATGTTGAAGCCTGGGAACAAAAAAGATCTAAAATATTGGCCTCCCCGGCCTAAACTTAAGAGCAACAAGTTCCACTTTCCTAGCCCCTTTCTGCTACAGTACTAATAATTATATGTAACGAACTAAGAAAAAATTTACTTGGCGTTGAATTACTTTCCTAACAATGTATCATGCTTACAAGTCCATAGGGAATATATTTTTTTATTATGCCGTATTTCCCACTTTAAACTTTAACCATAGAGGCCCGTAACTTGAAATATTTTTGTGAAGAGGGGAAGGGGAGGGGGAATTTTTGAAAAAAGAGCAATTTATAATAGCAAATAAATATATTACTTGATTTTTATAACATAATTTATGCGATACAGAGGACAAGTGTTAGAAGGAGATGGCAATTGCTGCAAAAAGGGGCGCCAACCTCCCCCCACGTTCGACCTCGAAATGCCGGGATTGATATTTGACAATCCTGGGATTTCAGGAATATTTTTTAATAATTACGACTGCAGTGTTGCAATCTCAAATTGACTAACATATTAATATTCAGTTTCATTTCTTCCTCCACCATTTTAAGATATTTTTCAGAATTGGTCAATACTTGTAAGATTTCAAAAAATTCATTTTTCAATTTCTTATTTGTATTCGCATAATTGCTGGCAGCGCTCAAACAGCTTTTAAGGAAACTTTAAAAAATAAAAAGCAATATTTGTATTCAAAATCTTGGTGGACACCTGAATTAAGTTGTTCTAAAACTATTCTTTCAATTCATTTTAACAAATAGAAAGATTCTGGTTTTTTTAAAAGATTTAAACTCCGTAACCTTCAATCGTTACCTGACGGCTTTGCGAAAGCTATATAAATATTAACATATTAATATAAAAAAGTAACAGCCATATAATATCGACAAAACTATTTTTTCGCTAAAACCACTGTTTCATTTGATCCTTTAGAATGTATGTAAGCTAGTTTACTTATAATATAAATGGAATGTGTTATAAATAAAAAAAATTCTTAAATATATGTATATAAATTAAATTTTTGCAAAAAAATCATGTTGCAACATAATTTTTTGTATTTTTTAATAATTTCTTTAATTTTATAAATAAAATTTTGAAGTTTGAAATTTTTAGAGAGGAATGAGGGGGGGGGGGAAGGAGGGAAGGGGGTAATTACAGCCCCCCCCTGCCCATGTATCCGCCACTGTTTTGACATAGTTGTTACTTTTGAAGTTGGGAGGAGGAGGGGGGCTGAAACACAAATTAGGCAGCCGGAATCAAAATTTTAATAGAAAAAAACAGAAATTTCCAGAAATGTAGCCATATTTTTTTTTCCTTATCAAATAAAAAACAATCTGCCATATATTGTCACAGTGGAAATCTTTATAAAGCCTGTACTAAATGCTACTGAGGCAGTCCAAGAACTTTATGATAAATATCAAAAAATCTTTTCACTTACTAAGTTAAATGCAGTAATCAGTTATTTTATTAGATAGTTGGTTATCTGAAGAAGACAGTATTAAAAAAAAGCTAATGGTTTTCCCAATCATTCTAGCTTTCAGACATTTACAACATATTGATGGCACAAGCCATAAACTGTGGTTGATTATAAGGTAAATAATCACTTGTAGGCAGTTTACATAACAAGTTTAATCCAATTTCTAATTATTCGACAAAACTTAGTGTTGAATAAAAATTGTGCTCAAATAATATTTATAGTAATTGTCTATAAATTTACACTTGATATCTTCCCATTTGTTATTGTCAAATTTTATATGTTCAATAAAATTTCCATGAGGTGTTCACACCATAAAATATGAATGAGGTGCCATATAACAGCCATTTGCACAAGGCATTGCATATAATAGGCATGATTTTTGTTTAAAGAAATACCAACATCATTTTTTATCAAATATGGAAGTTTTACACTCGGATCAAGTGGAGACAAGTAATTTATAGAAAATGGGGATTTAACTTCAAGACATGCAGGTGGACAACACAAACAAGTAATAACACGATCAGGACTACCGCCAATGAAAGGAATATCTCTATCTAAAAATAACCGACACAATCATACATTGCTACAACTTTATGATTGATTTTAAAAACTTCATAAAAACAGTTAACAGCATTATATTCCATTTCCCTGCCATACTTAATTGAAGGTATGTTTGAATCAACAAATGACATGCCAGATATATGTTGATTTAATTCCCACATATCGGTATCAAGTTTATTTAATTTGTTCATTTTTGTCCAAACATCATAACTTTTTGAAGCTGTTATAACACCTTTTCTATATTCATACCAGTATTTGTTTTTATTTTGTCCTTTGGTCAACTGCTCAATTTCTTCAATATTTTTAACGTCATATGAAATGTTATATTTTTTTCAAATGATAATATATCTTTTGACATTACCAATATATCATTAACACTCATTAGATTTGATTGGTAAGTACTAATGTCGTTTACTACTTTTAAACTAAAGTCAATATCTGGTTTAGGGATAGCATTAAAAATGATGGAATTAGGGGCTATTTCTTTTAACGCTTTTGCAACATCCTGAAGATTAAGTTTACTAGAATAATTAGAAATTGGATTAAATTTCTTATATATAAACTGTCTACAAATGGTCTTTTTTTTTTACAATGTTGAGAAAAATTTTCTTTGCTAAAATCTAGATTTTTAATTTTAACAGGTAAAACATCTTTTCGATTTGGAAGCCATTGATTTGAAACCATTGTGCAAGCCGGATTTGTTAAGCCCATTCTTACAGCAGCTTCAATTCTAAACATTGCTTAACTTAAGGAATGACCCAAACATGTGACCATGTTGCTTAAGCCTTAAGCAACATGGTCACATGTTTGGGTCATTCCTGCCATACATGTACAGTGACAAGATCGGATTTTTGCATTTTTTTTTTCTATAATCAACCACAGTTTATGGCTTGTATCATTAATACGTTGTGAATGTCTGCATTCAACTTTTATTGCACAAAATCGACTTTCCTCATTTATACAGTGATATGCGAGTTTTTGAAGCCAGCCTGTGTTATAAAAACTAAGAGCTTTCGAATTTTTATAATCATTGAAGTCATTGCTGCCTAATTCAGATGGGTTAAACATTAAATAATTAAAAATATCTGGATACAAAACCATTGGCCATTGTTTAATACTGTCCTCTTCAGATAACCAACCATCTAATAAGATAAACGGATCACTGCATTTAACATTGTCAATTAAAAGTTTTTGGTAAAGCTACAGTTACGCGGCCTAAAAGAATTATATTTTTGCGCTTGTTGCGCCAGGGGGTTTTGCTACATCGACTATCTTATAGCCTGACTCGCAACGGAGTGCTGCTACATCGACTATCTTATAGCCTGCTGCTACAAGGAAGTGCTACTACATCGAAAGAGGGTTTGGCATGGGGCAGCAATCTTTTTTTACTTTATTATTTCAATTTTATTTCTATTGTTTGTAAAGCCTCTACTGACAAACGGAAAAATAAAATTATTTTAGGCCGCGTAACTGTAGGATTACCAAGTTTTTTTTTGGTATTCATCTTTAAGTTTTTCAACTACCTCGGTAGCAGTTAGTACAGGCTCAATAATTTTTTCCATTGCAGAAAATACACGAGCAACCGATTCCCTCTTTGTTCCAGAAACACGCAAATTTCGAATTCTTAAATATTGCTTCAACTTATAAACTTTCATTTTATTAATTAAATCTAAATCCATTATGAATTTATCTTAGGATAAATAATTCAAACAAAAGGAAAGCACAATGTTTGCTTAAAAATCCTTAGTACGTAAAAGTTTATTTTTATTTTACCCACACAATTTGGATCCAGACCTCAATATTTCTACGCGTTTTTTCCGATCGGATAGCTGTATTAGCTATGAGGGTTGGTGATGAGGTTGATGTTACAAGTACGGATTAAAAAGCAATGGTTTACACAAAATAATTTGCTCCCGAAGTTGATTACGAGAGTTTATTTTGTTACGTAGTTTGAAATTAAGGTTTATTCTTAGTTTACCAAATAAAATAAAAAAAAAGCAATGTTATGAATCTGTTATGATAAGACTAAACATAGCTGTATTTAAAGTGCACGTCATACCTTCGAACAGTTAGACTTGATTACTAGAAACAGTTTGTGCAGGATATTGTATTACCGTATTTCTGCACATCTGCTTAGAATGCGCACAGTGAAGTTCTTCCAAAAATGCTTATTGTTTAGATAAAGGAAAAACTTTCAATGTTATAAATCTATGACGTGAGAAAAACTAAGAAGGGTAAAGTTGCCTTATTGAACACTTAAGGAATAAATATTTATTAACCAAAGATGGTTTAACTATGAAAATATTTATGGTTTGATTAAAACAAACAGACAACCTATTATACTCTTAACCATAATTTGACTTAATTGATTGCACTGTTATTGAAAATAAATTTGTTTTTACAAAGATACCATTTTGTTCCAATCAAGGCAACTGGTTCCTTAAATTGGAACACTTTGATTTCTTAATCAGAACAGGTTATTTCTATTAAAAAAAACCTAGTAAAACTTAAAAAAATTGATTAAAAATGATTTTTATTTTTACAGTGAAAATTACCCTGTACAGTATAGTATTACCCTGGCAAATCGAAATTCTACAAACAAAAAAATATATAAAAGCTTTTTTTTTTTTTTTGATTCCTGCGGGACACCACTTGAAATATCTAAAACATTTTTTTGATAAGGATCATTAAAAGAAACAATTTGTTTTCGGTTTGTTAAATAACTTTTAAACCATTTCAAAATTACACCATCCACTCCATAATAATCAAGTTTATGAATCAAAATGCCATGATTTACTGTATCGAATGCTTTTGATAAATCCAAAAAAAATACCAAAGTGAATTGTGAATTTTTGAAAGAGTTAGAGATTTCACGGACGAATTGGATAATGCAATCATCTCAGTAGAACTATTTTTTTTAAAACCAAACTGATTTTTATAAAAAAAAATTCTCCTTAAAATAAGTATATAATCTATTGTAAATATTTTTTTCTAAGATTTTTGAAAATGTTGATAAAATAAAGAGAGGTCGGTAGTTACATATATTAGTTCTGTCTCCTTCTTTGTATATTGGGATTATCTAAGCTATTTTTAACTTATCAGGAAAAACTCCTTGTTGTATTGACGCTCTGAAAACTTTAAAGAGAATATCTTTTAATTGTTCAAAGCATTCTGTTTCTATTTATTTCATCAGCTCCAGGGGCTTTGTTTTTTTTAATAGATTTAAACGACACTTGAAACTCCTCAAATGATAGCTCAGAAGAAAGATAAATTATTCGAGCAAACGCAATTATTCATCGGTGCTAAAAAGTTATTAAACGCAACTTAAGTATTAGGAATTTTATTTGCTAGTTTGAAACCGATATCAATAAAGAATTTGTTAAACTCATGAGCTATTAATCTAGGTTCAAAAATGTCTTTGTTATCCAACTTCAACTGTTCATCACATAACAGTTTCAATTGTTATGACGTTCTTTTAATTTATTGATTAAAAACCAATAAAATAATAATTATTTTTAAGGTTTACGGTTGTTACTAAGTATTTTTAAATTGCTTAAATTGAACTATTTTACAACCCTTTAATTTTATTACTGATTAAGTAAGGAAAACTTAATAGTTCCAATCAAGGAAACTTTAGACTATTTTGTTAAATCCCTGAAAGATCATGCTTGCAGCAACTTATCAGATTAGTTTATATTGCTATTTTGCTTTTTAATTTCCATTGAATTAAACGCAAAAAACTTTATAACCTATAGCAGTATAGTTTACCCAGGGCAATCAGTATAGTGTGAACACAAAATTAGATCACCGAAAAAGAATAATGCAAAAAAGCTTTAAATCAATGGTGCACATGCATTTTTTGGGAGATAATTTTCAAAATGCGGTAAATTTTTTGCGTCACCCTTCTAGATTTTTAGTAATATAGCCAACGATACGGTCTTTGGAAGTGAAGGGGGAATAATTGTCAATTTCTAAAAAAAGTTCTTTATATCTAGAAATTTCTAAATATAAAAAAAATTTCTTTAGATAAACAAAGGAGCAAGAGCTGTGATATTTGCATTTTTTCATTTTGAAACTCCCCGAGTGACGCTGCTGGCTGCAACGAGTTTCATTAGGACTGCAATTGCACATAAAAAACTGATGCCTATGTTTCGGTCAAAGTAAAACTTGCTAAAAATGTTTTTTTTTTTTTTAAAAAAAAAAAAAAAAAACTGTTGTCATATATGGTTTAACTGTGATATCTCATTGGTCTAGAGATATCACTGTGATATCTCATTGGTCTAAATGAGAAACTGGGGCTTAGGATCATTTTAGACTTGTTTTAATTTAATTGAAATAGTTCAAAAACTGCTGATAAACAACAAGTTCATGATAAAATATTAGCTCAAAACTATTTGACTAAACATCCACACACTTATACACACATATTCCTACTTTCTATTTATTTTATTGATATGTTTAAGGTCAATAAGTTAATACTTGTTCACATAAGTGGGTTTTTATGTAATGAAATTGCATTCATTAATTTGTATGCAATAAAACTCTTATATATATTATCTCATCAAAAATTAGTTTTACAAATAAATAGGATAAATTTTTACGAATTATTGTTTTTATGATTGAATTAATGAACCAAAGTTCTAAAATAGATTTTTTTTTTTTAATTTTTTGTTGTATTTAAATTTTCCATTTGAAATAAACTTGTAATGTAAGCTTAACTTATATTAAAAATACTTTAAAAATATTAAACGTGTATATATTTTGTTAAAACTGTTACTGTTCTATGCTATTATAACACGTTTCAACTAATTGCTCATTTGTCTCTTCGCTTGGAACCATTTCAGTTTGCTGGATTTCTTCATTTTGACAGGTTATTATTTCTAAATCTTCATTATTATCATTGTTGCAAGAATTATTCTCAACAGTTGAAGATTCGTTATTACAGGTCTCAACTGTTGAAGACTCGTTGTTACAAGAGTCATTTTCAACTGGTAAAGATTCGTTGTTACAAAAATTATTTTCTACTGGGGAAGAATCGTTATTACAAGTCTCAACTAAAGTAGATTCTATAAAACAATTGTTTGGTGTTAACTCAGCTGAATTATTACTCAATACATCTCCTTCATCGTTCAATGTATCGTGACTTCCATTATGACATTGTTCTTTAATGGAAGGTTCTCCGTTATCAAAGGATTTATTAGAGATAACATTTTCATTAAAGACTTGTACTTCGTTATTTTCTTTTTCAATATCAACATAACATTTTTGATCATTTATTTCTTCTAAAAACATTTTCTAAATATTTTTAAAACTTAAAATAAAAAAAATTAAGACTTACCTTATAAACAAGTCGAAACAATAAAATTCTATAGCGTAGCATTCGAAGAACGATTTATTACGTAACTAACTCCTCTCCCACTTACATACATTATTCAAGTTTAAGAATACGCAGTGGTGTGCTCTTAATCATTACTTTCGGGTTTTTAATACATTTTTTAATGTTTAGTACATCTTTTTTAATTTTTAAATCAAATTTATTTAAATTGTTTTTTATATTTTACCTGATAAATTTTAATAACTTCTTTAACTATCTATAACTTTTATATTTTACCTGATAAATTTTAATATATTCTTTAAATTTTAATAAAGTCTTTAACTATCCAGAAAACTACAAATGAGCATTTAGGAAGACAGTGTAAGACCTCCAGCATTTAAGTTTTAGTCAACTTTTAATTTATGAATTTTTACTTTAAGTATATTAATAAATAATTTAATTTGAATGCATCCTCTAAAACTAAAAAATTATAAATGTAAAGATATTGGTCTCAGGAAGTTGAATAAAGATTTTGATTTCAGAAGACTGATTTCAGAAAAATGAGCTAAGATGCCAGTCTCATAAAGATGAAAGAAAATGTTCTCAAAAATCATATTTAATTACAATGCTAAATATTTACTGCATGTGCAATGGACATGAACATGTACTATTTTTTGTTGAACATAAACAATAACAATGAAGTCGAATCAAAGAAAAAAGTTTGTGATTTAAAAGAATAAATGCTCTAAGCTATGAAAACACTGCTCAAGGTTATTCGTCAATGGCGGTTATTTTAATAAATATTTTTTAAAAAATGTTTTTGTAAAAAAAACTGTACTTTTAAACAATAATTTTTCTGTTTTTTACCCATAGCTATTTTAAAAAACTTTTACCTTAAGTCTATTTAAAAACGTTTATTTATAGATATTTCGATCTTTTATTTTTTATCTTTTATTTTTTATCAGGTACCTTATCGATCTTTTATTTTTTACTAAAATAAAAAAAATTTTCGTTAGCAAATTATAATACTATAATAACAGTTAACTTAAAATTGATTTTCAATTTTCTCTTTTTGAAATAAATTGTTTTTAAAAGAAAATAATATAGTAAGTAACCGATCATTAATAAAAGATCTTTTGTTTTGTGTAATTTATTTCGCCGTTAAAGGATGTTTGCGTTACATAATCATATATCGAAATTAATGGCTGGAGTAAAGAGAAGGCGCATTTTGCCTTATCGCCGAGCCCCATGTATTAAAAAAATTTTACATAACCGTAACATACAAATATATAAAAAAACATAAATTAGAATAAAAACAGAAGTCCTTAGCAGTGTTCCCACAGATTTCTTTTACTTCTTTATGTCTCTCCCAAATATACAACTTTTATTATTTTCACTAACTTTTATAATAAGTTCAAATCTTCTTAAAGATTGGTATTAGGGGTCATCCATAAATTACGTCATGCAATTTTTTTACAGTCTTTGACCTCCCCCCTCCCTTTTCATAAAATTGTAACACTTAAGTAGCAAGTTTTGTATGAGTCGTCACAATACCACCAACCCCCTCCCCCTTATGGCGTGACGTAATTTATGGACGACCCCTTAGAAATTTAAACATCAAGTTTGAATAAAACACGAGTTTTAAAAAATAAATTTTTATTATTTTTATATACTTAAATGTTTAATAAAATATAGGAAAGTTCTGACTTTTTTGTTAACACTATCATATAAATTGAGCAAATAATTTTAATGTTTCTTTTGTTTTTTTGTTTTTTAAGATATTTCTTTTAAAACAACTGCTTTTTCTCTTTGTTCTTTACTCCACATATTTTCGCATAAAAATATGTTTTTACTTATACTTTTATCTTATGTTAAGCAAGATTAGTCTGAACGTTTTTTAAACAACTTTTTTTAATTTAAAAGAAATTTATAAAATAGATTTAAATGTTATGTAGAAAACGTTTTCAGAGAACGTTTAGTTTTCGTTAACTATGAACAACTCTTTTCTTATAATATCAGTTTAAAAACTGTATTGCACTTGTTATAAAAATGGCTTCATAATTATGTTACCTAAAACAACCATAAAAATCATATTTGAGAAAAAGCTTTAAAGAAAGTATAGAAAATCTTTCGGAATTTCAAGAATCTTTATGAAAATGAACTACCTTTTAGTTTTAGAGATTCTGTTTCCAAATTAGCGCAGTTTATTTTTAAAGGTTGTTGTGCCTTCGTGTCAACACTGTCGCGTTGTGTATTTGCATCAATATTGATTTCTTTAACGGTTGAGCTGTTTTTTTCAAACTTTGATTTAGGCACGCTGGCTGAACATCCCATTTTTAGAAACTTGTAGTTCTGCTTGAAAATTTTACAAAAAAGCGAAACACGCTCTCTGCGAAAAAAAACTTATAAATTTATTGCTACTTTTGCAAACGATCTGCAAAATATGGTCGGTTACAATAAATGCGTCATTGTAAACTGAGATCAAAATTATTGGTCTATGTTAAACTTGTTTTTTTTTAAATTCAATTTTTGTGACATGTTTTGACAAAAAAAAAAAATTTTAATGTAATAAAATAATTACTTCCATTTACTATAACGTGTGTATATAACAGTATTCTAACATTCCATCACTTTAGTGGCAGAATGTTTAAATATTATATACAATTTTAAATGAATTTACATATGATTCGCAAGTGTTTTCTCTTGCATAGAATTTGCAAAACAAATATTTGTTAGCTTTTTATACTTATCGAAATTTGAGTGCAGTAAAATTTTAGAAAAAAATATAAAACATGTAGTCATTTATGTATGCATAGTGGATCAAAGATGTGACAATGGTTCAAGAGTATTTTGATTTTAATGTCTGTTACAAGAAAATAAAAATAATAATTTACAAAGAATAATAAACTAAACGTTCATTACCTAAGTTTAGAATGAATCATATTGTTTAGATGATAACATTATATATATATATATATATATATATATATATATATATATATATATACATTCTTGCACAATAAACATGTAAATTTCAAATTTAACATACTATGCTATGTATGTGCACAACTAATCGATTAATGTAGAGTCCATAAGCGTCGTTAGTTTGCAGAAACACTGTTATTGTGTTCTTTTCTTACCTCTGTTCCTGCTGCTAACCTGTGATTCTGGTTCATTCAAGATGTAACAAAAGAAATGACTTTGAAATTTGTTATTGGCTTAATAAGCCAATAAATTTGTTGTCATTAGATCGGATATATGTTTCATAGTAAAGCTGGTCCTTAATTTTTATGCAATTAAATTTATTAAAATCTATCTCAGTTTCTGAACTGCTAACAGCATTTGCTTGCTATTTTAACTGGTTGCTATTTTTTCTGCCCTAAAATTTAAATTAGGGAACTGCCGTTTTTCAGTTAGATGTTGCGTCTGCAAAATTGTGAAAATGATTAACAACTTCTTAAAACTTTAAAATTTTATCTAGCCATCGTAAGATCATTTTATCTACCAGGTAGAGGGATCTAAAATCTCTTCAAAAAAAATGTCATAGTTATAGTGTCATTGGTCTCATTCTTATCCTCATCCATATTTATATGACTAGCAGATAAAAGTCTTGCTTTAATATTGTTTGCCACTCTATCTAATAAATTTTTACAGTAATAAATAATTTACAGCTCTTCCCTCTTTGGGAAGAGCTGTAAATTTCTTATTGTAATCAAATAGTATGCATTTGAAGTCATTTGATGAAATTAAACTTTTTTTTCATGGACACCAAAACTATCATTCTTGTGTAGCTCTATAGCTCTTATTGAATGCTCATTTAATTGATCAGTATTTCTTGATTGTGTGTTAAATGTAATTCTTTTAAGAGTTATCAATTAATTAGATATAACTTGAATTAATTAGATATCTATCATTAAAGTTAAAACTTTAATAAAATGTGTATTAACTAAACTTTTTTTCTTTTCTTGAATTTGAATTGGACTGGATAAAATGTTTATACAACGTTGAGTATGCTCGCCACACAGCCAGAGGCAATTTTAGGAGGAGTCTCTGGGCTTTATAACTCTGGGCTTTCTTCATTCTCGTACAAATCATTCGCTCAGGAGGAGGGGAGGGGGATGTTTCTTTCCCCCCCTCCCTCCCCCAAAGAAGGTGATTTTCAAGTTATAGTAAGTTTTTTGACGAATATAGTCAGGTAATAGTGTATTTGACAAAATTCAGTCGGGTAAAATTTAGCTTTAGGAACTTTTTTTTTTATTCAGGAACCAGTCTGTTCTTTTTAAGGATTTAACCCTCCTTCCCCCTCATTTTATTCGTAGAATCGCTTATTTGTTTTAAAAAATAGTTTTTTTAATCTATATTGCTATATGATTTTAGTGATTGTGCGTCTGGAATGTCAACAATTTCCTATATTAGCACTATTTCTCCTTGTAATTCCAAAGCTGCTTTTATATCAAACAATGGTCTGTTTCGTTTTACAAGAAGATAAACTGTGTTAAAATTTTTTATAGTAATTTAAGTTAATTGCTTTAGAATTAAACATTTTAACTACATTTGATTGTTAAATTGATTAACTGTTTTTTGCATTTTTAAATGTGAACATGAAGTGGAATGTTCTTTAATTTGTTCGCGTAGGGAAGCTTGCCTTGTGTCTTTTTTAATTCCATTAGCAATTGTCAAACATAAAATCCACTCATTTGATACGTGAATATATTTTTTGTTTTCTATTACTAAAGTTTTCGTTTATAAACAGTCTTTACAACCTAATTTGTAAGTTTATTAATTAAACTATCTTTTACCACAAACCATTTATATTGTTCTGTGAACAAGCTTACCTGTTTTTTTGTCCAACAATCTGGTAGTTGGCAATTGCGTATTGTGCGTGATTCCAATAATTCTAGATGATGCCGATGAATATAAAGTTGATGTTTTATTTGAAGTAAAAATAAAACATTTTATTTTTGGTCTGTGAAATGTGAAATGTTACAAGATTTAGCATGATTTTCGGATTTTAAATTTTTTACAGATCTTCTCTGTCATATGAATAATTTAAATGTTAAGAAAATTGTTTTAAAAAAACTCAACTTATTGAATATATCTGGGGCCGTCTTAAAAGTTTTATTATGCAAATCAGCTAGCTAAAAGTAACATTTAAAGCTAGCTGATTTAATGGATTAAAGCAAGTTCATGGCATGAATTTGGTTTAAATCATTGCTGTAAAAAAAGTCAAAGTTAAGAATTATAAAGATGGGAAAACTTCATGACAAATATAAAAAAAGAGAGATTTTTAGACGTTTCAATTGAAAAATAGTTTTATTATACCTTCTAATGTGGACTGTGAAGTAGTGAAACTTGAGCTGCACTTGGAATTAAATTGACATATTAAATTAAAATCCAATTCAATAATCAAATTTTTTTCTATAATGAAACTAAGAACAAAACTGTATTAGAAATAGGTTGACAGATGAAAATTTCAGTGTTTGATTAATAACAAAAGCTTTCATTTATCACATTGATAATATAAAAATTAGCATCAAATAATGTGGTCTACATATTTATGCTAGTTTTTGTAATATATAATCTTGTAATATATAATCAACCGTAGCGCATTGGTTACAGTTCTGGTTCAGAACCAAGTGGTCGTTGGTGAACTTCCTAGTTGAATACTTTTCCACGGTGCTCCATGGTAAGACTGTAAGAACTTCTGGGAGTACCTTAATAACCACTCACACCCACACAATTTTCTCAAAAAGAAATGTTTATATGTAGCCATTGTGTTTATAAGTGGAAAAGAATAGCGTAATTCTATTCTAGTTTATGATCAATATATAATCTAATGATCAGTTTCGGCGCAGAAGCGGTTAACATAATTGTCACTTAATTTAGTATAATATTTATTTAAATATGCGAAAAACCTTGATGCTATCATATGAACAATACATATAAATTCATTATCTTGCCGCGTTTTATATTTTAACTACTTTTTAAATTTCAAAAATAATAAATTAGAAATAGGTTGACAGAGAAACATCTGAGTGCTCGACTTAGAATACAATTTGGTTTGAACTGTCCTTAACACGGTTTGATCTGATACCAATCATAGCTATTACATCGACAATATAAAAAACGATATCTAATAAAATTAATTACCTTAAGCGTTAATTAGTAGGCAGGGCCGGCGCGAGGTGCCATTAAATTTTGCCAACAAAAAAACAAAAAAAAAAAAAAAAATACGTGATGGTCATCGTTTTCCAAATTCGCCGACTGCCATGACGACATTTGCCGACTGTCTAGATAATCAATAACGAAAGAGTCGACATTTGCCGACTAACTAGTCTAAAAGGGTCCAATTTGCCGACTAAGGGTCTAATTTGCCGACTAAAAATCATTTATGGGGGGTGTCATACCCCCCAATCGCGCCGGCCTTGTTAGTAGGTGGTGATTAGGTTTTATTTAAGTGCTAATTTTGTTTGACATTGGTTATGTCAATTAAGTTACGATTTCATGTCACATGTCATTATTACGTGTCACAATCTTATTATTGATTGTGATTCCGTTTCAAATTTACTTTTTTTAGTTTTAAATAGTGTTTATAATTATCTAAATTGTTGTAAAATTTTTTTTTTTAAAGTTCTCTTTGGCATTTATGATTTTGTTTTGCGTAGATTTAATAAAATGTTTTATATTTGCTTTAATTATAAATATTTAGAATTTATAGTTTTTATTATAAATATTTAACATTTAGTTTTTGATTAATGATTTGTACCTACGTTAAACAGCTCTTAATTTATTTTTTTTACTATTAAAGCAATTAAAAATGCCTTATATATTTGCTCAGTTAGTGAGGCCCCTAAAATGTTAATCCTAAACCCTAAGTACGACCAACGAATTTTAAAAGCTTAAAACATTTATTTCTTTTTAAATAGAACATTTTTTATTCAATATCTTTTTGTTAACTGGTTATTTAGAAAATACATTTTAGTGTAAAATTTAAAGGAAATTTGTTCCGTGATTTTATTCTGATTTATGTGAGTTTATTATTTTCACAAGCAAACCTTTTCATAGATTGAGACAAATAGTTTCGAAATCAGATTTCTAAATATATCTGAAACAAAATCATAGCAACAACGTTTCACTAAAAACTAGGTGAAAATTCTTTTTACTAAAAACTACGTGAAAGTTCAAAGCTTTTATATTATTCTAAAAACCTAGATTAATTTTAAAAAATGCCTAGCTCACTCTCATTAAATAACGCTATTTATTAGCTTTGTATTTACTTAAGGATCAAAAAAAATTTTAGAATCTAGTTGCGTACAGAAGGCAGATAAATCACAGAAACGCTAATTTTTTTTAAAATGAATTCTCTCCTTCCAATAAGACCTCCAGAAACCACAATTTAAGTAGTAGTTAACAGAAAACAAAGAAAAAGTTAAAGAGCAAGCCAGCGGTTGACAGAAAAAAAGAAAAAAAAAAAAAAATTCAATCAGGAAACCAAAAAGATTAAATTTTATTTATCCTAATATGTTTTCTATTCAAACTATACAACTTAACGTGTTTTTCCTACTCCCGCATAAAATGCAAAACTACATGTTTTAATTTAATTTTAATCTGTTTGATAAATTTTAAAGATTTTAATTTGTTTACTCTTAACAAAATTGCGAAAGATGATTTGGTTTGAACCGCTACGTATAGTATACATAAATTGAACCGCCGCGTATGGTATACATAAACCTATGGTTTGAACCGCCACGATACAAGTTAATAAAAAATAGATATATAGGTCGGTAAATAAAAATATATTCCTGGGCTACGCTAAATCGTCTTTCTATAAATTATTACTTCCCAGTCGGCACAAGACGTGTTTTACGCTTCCAAAATACCTGTTAATACATTTTATTAAGTGTTTTAAACGTCTAAATACGTCTTGTTCCCATTGGGTTAAGATCTACTTACTATAAAGTTAGTCAAAAAATCTTCTTTTAATTAGAATACTATAAAGTTAACAAAACACAAACAAAAATATTTTTTATACAAATTTAATATCCGCAACACAAAATTTTCTTTTTATATTTTAATAATAAGATAAAGCACTCCTCCACCGTAAAAAAGAACAATATATATATATATATATATATACACACACATATATATATATATATATATATATATATATATATATATATATATATATATATATATATATATATATATGTATATATATATATATATATATATATATATATATATATATATATATATATATACACATACATATACATACATACTTATATATACATACATATATATACATATACACAAAAGCAACTATGTTTGCGCATATTGACGCAAAATTCGTGTTTTTAAAAATGGATTTAAAAATTTATCGAATAAAATATAAAATAGTAATCAAAAACCATAATCTAAAAAAGTTTACTAAACCAATATTTCAACTTTACAAAGTCGGAACTCTTTAAAAAGAGATAAATAAACACAATTATTTTGAAAAATACGTGCTCTACAAAAAATAACAGACCTTTCATAAAATTATGAAAAAATTAAAGAAAGAATTCTTTTTTACCTGGTAAAAATATGAAATTAAATCTTTTGACAAATAATTCTAGTTTTACAAAAATAAAAAGTTAAAAATTTGATAAGAAATAGGATTAAAAAACATTTGATGAATAATATTTACAAGTTTGATTGACTGGAAGATTGTTCGGTTTATCACGTGTTTACACAGTTTCTACTGCTCAGCATATATACTTATATCAGTCTCTGACTAATTTAAATATGTGGTGCTGCGCTCCGTGCTCGCTAGATGATATTTCAAATACAAAAGCAAGACAAAGAAGTGTTTCTTGAGTGTCTCGATTACTTACAACCTAAGGTTTAAAAAGTATTGATTGAAATAATGAAAAAAATATCAACTCAAAAATTTAAATTTGTTGACACGGCTAGTGCTTCCAATACCGGTATTAAAATTATATGTAAAGGGCTTGTGATATAGTAGATAGGAAAGCCATCTTTTCGCAAAATACAAAATTAAATGATATATTTAAAACTTTCAGTCGCGATAAAGAGCGTTCCTGGTGGGATAATGATAGCATTATGATAAATTTAAAAAGCTCATTTCCTACCGGACTTGTTCATCTTGTAACGAGAGTATAAAATCAGGCTCGCTAAAGAGTTTGGAATGGAGAAAATAATAATTTGTTTAATTGAATTTTTATAAAAAAAAATTATTGTTAAAAATATTTAGTTAAAAATAAAACTTGTTTCATTTCAAAGTAAAATTTTGTCTTCCTTCTATTAATAAAGCACTGATTTAAAATATTATCATTGCGTCACTTGCTTTAATGTAAATTCCATGTTTGAGTTTTGCACTAACGTAAATACGAAAAGTTTGAAGTCGCTACAGTTGAGAACATTTTTAATTTAGTAAAAATGTCAAGATGATAGATTATTAATCGTTTTTCATGGTGTAACTTATAAATGTAAAGTTATAGAATTAACAGCAATTATAGTTACGCTTACTTAACTTTAATGCATTTTGAATTAAGAACTAAAAATCAAGATTTTATGTCTAAGAGATAGAATTACCTTAATATCCAGAAAAACATAAAACATCCTAAAAAGTATTGAAACCGTTCAGCACTGTACGAGTTGATGAAAGTTCTGCGTGGTTTTACTTTTTGCTTGATAAAGAAAATTAACTTGCAATGTGTAAGAAGTGCAAAAAAGAGATAAAATCAAATGGTGGAGTACCAGTGTACTGAATACACATCTAAAAACTAAGCATGAAATTGACTTGATGAATAGGAAATTGTCCCAAAATGCAGCATCATCATCGGTTTTTTTTTATTGGTACCTTTATCAACGGAGGAAAAATCCAAACATTTAATCACCGGTTTCTTACAAAATCAATGCGGCAATTCGTTGATAAGTTTTTCTAGATTAAACACCCTTTATGTTGGAATCTTGGATTAGCAAGAGTTGTTGGTTCGTCGCCTGCTGAAAAATGCATTGATTTAAGTTAAAAATTGTTAATTGGAGCGTAGATTTTCAGCGAGTGGCAACATTATCACAAAATTAGATCATCTATTGAGGATAATACTCTAAACGTCCTATGTTTTTTAAGGGCTTATTTTACAAAGGAGAAAAAAGCGAAAAATGAAAAAGTAAATATTATGATAAATTTAAAAAAAAGTTTAATACCGGTATAATACCGGTATTGAAATTATTCAGTACCGAAAAACCGGTATTGAAAAATGGTATCGGTATTGGAAGCACTAGACACGACTTTTTTTTTTCTGAATCAAAAAATTTGATTTGATGTTTCGAATTGAACTTCGATTATTTTGTTTATATTTGAAATTATAAACAATTGAGTTAATTATATTTTTTGATAAATTTTCTAACTATTAAAAAAAAAAGTAAAAAAAAATCGGTAACAATGCTATGATCATCATGTATATGATAACTAGTGAACAGATGCGTGTTAAACTCTTTTCAAGCTTAGGGCTTGCAGTAGCTGGTGAACTTTAGCTCTAAAAAAACTCAGCCATTTAAATGTCATGAGAGAATGGCAACTTCTTACCGGGTCTTTTACTTTATATCTTCATTGAGACTATCATTCACTTACTGACCTCTAATGGAAACCACATATAATCTATTGTAAAGTTAGCAACTGCTAACGTAGCCTTTTTTAATTATGCTTGCCATTTCTTAATGCTAATTTTCCTTATTCATCCTTATATGGGACACTGTTGTCATATTTGAGCTGGTTTTACTTATGAAGCACTTTCTTTTTTTAAATAAGATCCAAATACATATTGAAAATATTGTTTGACTTGGTCAAGTATGAGCCTCTTTTCATTTTTGTCAGGTTGCATCTTTTTTTCTTTTCTGCAAATACTATTATGATCGCTGCTCAGGCGTTACTCAACTGATCATTAACCAAAACTCAATCTTGCGGTATTCAGATTTTACTTTCCTTTTACATTCCTTTTACTGTAACTGTTCCTGTTGTAATTGCTCCAAAAAAGTTTTACTAGTTCAATCTATTCTGCAGGTGCTTTGGAATCTATTCTGCAGAGTTTGGAGGTGCTTTGGAGTTCCCTTATTTTCCTTTTAATGTCTTCTGGCCATAAATTTCTTGTTCTTTACTCTAATTTGTTTTCTTTCAACTCCCAATTTAATTAGTGGTTGCTTGCAGCCTCATTGGTAGTGAACTAATAAAAAAAACTATCCGTGTTGATGGAACCTTTTATTGGTCACTATTTACACAGATAATTATTACACAAGAACAACATTAGGACAAATGTCTACATGCTGTCAAGGCATCCATGAGATTTATTGATATCACCATGATCGGTTAAAATTTGGAGGATTTAAAATTTTCTCAAAAACCACTAAATTAACAAAAATAACTATGCCTTAACTTTACGACGTGCAAGTTTTTCAATTTTTTGTAAAATACCCACTATCATCTCCACAATTTTATTTTGCATCACTTTTTTTGTAGCATTAATCTATAAACTTTTAACACTATTTACACATTTGCCTCTTTTTCTCAACATTTCTCTCATTGCCCAGTAAGATTTGATAACTCGCTGATCAGGAGATTATTTTCTGGCTAAAATAAGGTTGGTTGTTTGTGCTTTTTAATTAGAGGAGGAAGTTATTTTTTCAAGCAATCAGTCTCATATATTTCTGATGTGAAAGATTGTATTGTTATGAAAAAAGAGCTTTTAAAACCACAACTGCTAATAGCCTGCCATACAAGGAATTTGAAAGCGAATTTTTGAATTCATATCTACTTAAATTTGTCAGAAACTTCATATCTTTTCAATAATAATAGTATTGATTGCCTAGAAGCATCAAGTGATCTTTTTTACAGTAAGTTTCACTGTCTTTAAAAATGACTAAATTTTTTTTTTGTAATTAATTTAAGCAAATTTTTAGCTTGTCCAATTGTTTTAATTTTTCCATTAAATGACCTTTTTGGTATTTTTTTCTTGTAATATGCTTTCAGATTTTTCTTTTTGAATACTCTTTGAACAAAAGATCTACTGTATTTAAACTTCGTAGCTAAATCTTGTTGTGACTGAGTTGGAGAAACAAACAGCCATCACATGATGCAATAGATTGATAAAAAAAAAGATGTTTGAGACTTTAAAATTACTTATTATACATATCTGATTCTTTTTTTAAAATTTAAAAATAATCTGATAAAAGATACTTTTGATTGAATTTACAATGTATGTTTAAATCTCATAATCTAATTATAAAGGTTGCAATATCTCATTTTGGCATACTAATTTGTGGCATAGTACACGGTTGCCAAGCCTGGTAATGAAAAGGTTAAGACCAAGAAATTGAAAAGCTAACTTGAGTACACTTAACTTTGAGAACAATTAAACAGATGTTATTTTAATAATTATTTGAATATTTTATTAAAATAATAAAGCATAGTCATCAGAATTTCTTTATAAGGTCATGTAGAAAATAAATATCCAAATAAAAATAAACAAAAAAAAAAAAAAACCTTTATTGTATAACTTATTTGAACCAAATAATTTAAAATTAAAAAAAAAAAGATAATTTACTTGAAGAATAGTAAAATTTTCGAGTACTGAATTCATCATAAACTTTTCAGGAAGATGCTTCAGTTTTCTTATAAAGTTTATCATGTATTCACACATAGGCGACCTTTGAATGCGATACACAAAGCGTCCATTTTCGTAGCGAGGATATTCAGTTTCAACTTTTTCCACAACTTGTTTACCAAATGAGCAAACTTTTGTTGAGCAAGTGACGGTCATATTTTCAGAAGATTCATATCTTAACAAAATTCATAATTAAAAATTTCAAACTTTTATTTAACGGCACTAATATTTGAAATTAAAATTAACTTAATATAAAATTTAGTTGAAATTTAATTATATTATAATTAAATAACAACAAAACTGTTACATTATAATTTTTTCTTTTGATGTTCAAGTAACATTCTCAGTATTAAAAGAATGCTTAAAGCATTAGTGATTATTTTTAGTTCAAACTGATTTTAAAAAGAAATTCAAGCTTTAAAGCATCTCTGAACTTAAGAACTATTTAAAATCAAAAGAGGCACACAAAACAAAAAGAAAATGTTAAGAAAACAATAAAGAAAAAACTAAACATTATTTAACATTTTGCACTTCGAAGTTAGAGTATACAAGATCAACCATAAAAAGTTGCAAAACCATGCTGACTTTTTTTTGTTTTTTTATTGATTCATAACGTTTCTTTCTCCATACAATTTGAAATCAATCTACATTTTAAAGTGTTGTATACCATTTTATGATTTTGAAATTATGTTATAGTCAGTTAGCTTTACAGAACTAAATTTTTGTAAATTTTATTTTTGAAGAGTGTAGTGCTTTTCTAATTGATTCACTTTTTATAAGTTGATAAATATTAGAAGGAAAAATACTGAGTATGCAGTATAGTACTGGGTACGCAGTATAGTGCTGCAAGTTATTTTTCCATGCAATAAAAGTACCAATTATTGCTATTATTATAAATATTTTAGAAACAACGTCAAAATAAAAATAAGACAACCTTGAACTTAAATGGAGAATGGATCCAATTTTACTAATAAGTTATTTTAATTAAATTATAAATTATTAATTAATTATAATTAATAACTTCAAAATTTATAAATCTTGACAGAATAAATTAAAAAGTTCCACCAACATATTACAAATTATTTTTATATAACAAAATATTTCCTTCAATATTCCATTTATCAAAATATTAAAAACTTCTCAAGAAAAAAACATAATGTAAAAGAACAAAAACTTTTTCAATTTATACCCTAATACATTTTTTTGTTCTTTTACTGAACAATAAAATTTATTGATAAAAAACCCAGAAAATTGATAAAGATTTGATTATTTTAAGCAATTATAATAATGGAAACAAATTTGTTTTGAAAAAGACATTAAAATACACAACTATTTGTCCCACATAATAACTGCAGTTTATAAAACCAAATATTGTTTTGTTTTAAATTAAAGATATTGGTTTATATTACTTATAACTGATACTAAAATTGAATCTCTATATTGTAAACGTCAAATTACTAATGAGTAAATAAATATTAATGAGAAACACTTACGTTGTTGATACACCATAAAACGAGCCAGCGTCATCAGGAATGCTAGTATTCAAATCCGCCTGAAACAATACAAACACGAGCATAATTTTTTCAAATTAATAATTACTAAAAATTTTTGATTAATAAAAAATTAAATTTTAAAGTTAGTTATTAAAAGTTAATTATTAAAAAATTAACAAACTAAAATTATTAAAAAATAACAATAAGCTGTTCAAAACATTTAAATTAAAAAATTAAGCAAAAATCATCTGTCAACTTTTTTTTAATTTGCCTTAACTAATTTCTATCAAAAAGAACTATTACAACTAATTTCTATTAAAACAACAAATTACCAGTTATTATAAAAATAATAGACAAAATATATACAAATTTCTTTGCATATTTTTTTGGAAATGATCAATATAAGTATGCTGGAAATGGGAAAAAAAAAACTTAACATAGGATGCATTAACTTAACTATAAAAAATCTAGCTTTTTTAGCATTTATAATTGCTTTACCAATGAGTCATATATTGTATTAAACAATGTGGTTTAATGCATATGTACACGACCTGTCAAAATTAGATCGACTGATCCAATTTTGACAGGTCGTATTATTTTGAGAGAGAATTTAGTCTTAAATTTGATAGAAACCGTTTGCCAATAGATCATAAATTTAAAAAAGTATTTAATACAGAAAATGAGAAGAAATACACTATTCAACAGCAAATTAAAATGAAGAAAAAAAATCCTGGATACTACACAAACATCAAACACACACGCAAATGTACTGTTTGTAGAAAAAAAATTCTGGATACTACACAAACATCAAACACACACGCAAATGTACTGTTTGTAGAAAAAAAATTCTGGATACTACACAAACATCAAACACACACGCAAATGTACTGTTTGTAGAAAAAAAAAAGTTTGAGAAAATTTTTGTGGATAGCAATATCTGACTGTGGTATGTCTGTACCATTATTTTGTACTTTAATTTTGTATCACTTTACATTATTTTTGTATGATTTTACATTATTTTTGTATGATATTACATTATTTTTGTATCATATCAATTTATATTAATTAATGTTTAGAAAAATAATGACATTTTTTAACAATTATGGCAAGTTCTTATTATTCTAAAGACTCTCTCAATTAGAAAGAGGAATATGTTAATTATTTTGAAAAAGAGTCCAACCCACTAACTTTGGTCAAACACAACCAATTAAAAACGTTTGCAAACATATATTTCAGAAGTTTATGAAGGAGGTTGTCTTCAACAAAGCAAACATTTATTGACTGCATCAAAAAGAAAATTTGAATTTTTTGCAGACGCTTATAAAAGATGTCAAAATAAAATTGAAATTTATTTAAGGTTGAGTTTTTTCAAATAAGAAATAAATGACTTTAATTTTAAAATATTTTAAAATCAAGTATTAAATAATTTAAATAACTGAGGAAAAAAAATTGAAGTTTTTTTTAAAAAACCACAAAAATTCAATTTGTTTTTTGTTTTTTTTTTAAATTAAGAAGTTTTTTTTTTTAAATCTAATCCTAACAAAGCTGAAAACAACAACTATTAAGTTAGGAGTTACATGAAAACAAAGAATAGAGTTAAAGAGCAAGGAAACAATTGACAGGAGACTTGAAAAGTTGCAGGCTATATGAGTCAGGAATACAAGACGATAGGAGAAATTTCCAAAGCATTGAAGTCGGGTAAGAAGGGGGGGGGGAAGAAAAATAATGTTTTTAAAGCATGCAGGGACAGATATGATATTAATTGATGAAAAAATAACTCCACAAAATTTCATGACATTCCAACATTAAGTGACAGCTCAATTAACTTTATTTATCTGCTTTTGTCAACAAATCTACTAAATTTGATAAAATAACTCATTTGTATATTGCATAGTGTTAACTTAACTTTTGTTTACAACTATGTTTGTTTTAATTGGTAATTGGTTCAATCTAGGTACTCCTTATGGAAAAAAAGCTAATTCATCTAAGTTTCAATTAATTTAATTAATGACAAAAATATTTATATGCTTATGTGAATATGTACCTTATATATATTTTGAATTTATTAAAACAAGATGTGACACTAATGTGTGGTTAATTGGTCATGAATTACCAGTTCATCAATTACCAGGTTTTAAAAATTTGGTTCATTGCCAGTGTTCCAACAACACAAAAAAGGAATGTTATGGCTAAACTAAAAGTATTGTATAACTCTTATGTTAAAATAGAAAAGAGCAAGCCTCGGAGAACTGAAAAACAGTTAAAGTTGGAAACTGATTGGATAAATAAGATTGTGACAGACTTATAAAAATTCAACAGGATATAATGTTTCTAAAAGACTAAAGAGAAAAAACGAAAATGGTAATGGGTTCGGAAGATTTAGAATTTAAAGAACGTGAAAAAAAAAAACGAGTGTATCGACATTTCCAAGAAGAACATTGCAAAAAAAGGCAACTGAAGTGAAAAAATATATTAAGACTGGATTGATTGAAAAAAATTCAGATTCAGAATATGAAGAAACTGGTGACAAGGAGCTCCTATTTAGCAAGTATCATCAGCAAACATCTAAAAAGATCGTTATATTAGAAAACTACCCTATTGAAACTCTAATTAAACAAAATAAAAAATTAGCACCCAAACCACATAGTGTTATTGATAGTTCATTATTTATTGCTAGTCTTGATCATACAAAAACTACATCGGTACAGGCTATGCACATTGTTGGGTCAGTTCTCAAAGCTGTTGGGATTGACATAAAAGATATGACTTAATCTGCAAGCTCAATATACAGAGCTTGTAAAACAATTAGAAAATCTATAATTCAAAACATTTAAGAAACACATGGGCCCTAGTTGCCCATTTTGACAGTAAAATTCTACCAGACACATATGGAAACCTGGCTGACAGGATGCCAATTGTTATATCAGGTTTAAATGTTGAAAAACTGTTGGCCATTCCTAAACTTTTTATGGGTACTGGTGAGCTTATAGGAAACTCGGTTGTTGAAGTATTGGAAAAATGGAAAGATGTTTCAGATTGGCTGGCAGGTCTTTGTTTTGACACAAGTTCCAACACTGGTGTTCACACAGGTGCAATTACTATCATTCAGCAGGCAAATGATAAACGTTTACTTTTTTTAGCCTGCAGGCATCATATCCTTGAAATTATTTTGGCTGCAGTATTTGACCAGTTTTTCCAGTCTTCAGGGTGGAATATTGGAATAATATAGATTGGAATATTTTGTCAGTTCAAGGAACACTGGAAACTTATTGATACTACCCAATATAGTACAATTGAGACTTCTGACATTGAAGTCAAATCTGAACTTACAGTTGGTAAATGTGTATGGCTAAACCAAAAGAAGAAAAATATGTCAGAATTTCTTAGGAATCAATTTTCCCATAAAAATAAACCACGAAAAGATTACCTGGAGCTCATCTAACTGACCCTAATCACATTGGGTGAAAATTATGATGTGACTCATTTCAGTCCTCCAGGTGCCTATCATCGTACCAGGTGGATGGCAAAAGGAATATACTGTCTTAAAATCTATTTGTTCCAACTTACAGCATACAAACTACAAGGTCTTCGTTGTATCTGCCTTTTCATTATTACAATTTATGCGAAAATCTGGCTTAAAGCTCCAAACAGTTCTGATGCTCCATACAATGACCTTTGTCTACTCCAAATTCTCGAGTCTTATCTTGCTGAAGACAAAAAAGTAGCAGATATTACAATTAAAAAAATGAGAGGACATATGTGGTATTTGAGCGAAGATTTGATTGGACTTTATTTTCTAACTTGGTTCCAAATAGTGAGAAAGAGGCTATGATTGTTGCTCTGAAGAAACCACAAATGAAAACTGATCTCAGAAGAGTTGATTCAAAATTTGTTGACAACTTTCAGGAAAAGACTGTCAGATTTTGTTACTCAAAGATCAATGAATCTGTTCACTGCGCTTAAAATTGAACCTATTTTTCATATTTATAATCCAGCTACATGGGTTTTCTGTCCTGTCTATCTCACTGCCAAGCAAAAAATAGCAAGCATGAGAGTCACCAATGACTGTGCTGAGCGTGCTGTTAAGTTAGCAACAGACTTCAATAATGTGCTAAAACTTAATGAAGCTGAACGGCAGTTAATATTTCAGATTGTTGAATATCACAGAAAGCTCATGACCATTCCTTTAAAGAAAAACTTTAAAGCAGAATAGCAAGTGATCATTTATTACTGTTGTAAAAACTTTAATAACACATTGTATAACACACTTATTAAATATGTTGTAACATTTATATTTAATCAAACTTATGGGATAAGATTGTTTACTGTTTTCTCACCATTTATTTTACAATTTTGAAATTGAGCAGTCACTAAAACACATTATTTAAGATTACAATTTTTAACTTATTTTCCTGACCACAAACCACATCAAATTAGAGGGCAGCCCAATTAAAATTCAAAATTTTTTTTTTTTTATATACAATTTTGAAATACACACACACACACACACACACATATATATATATATATATATATACACACACACACACACACTCATATATATATATATATATATATATATATATATATATATATATATATATTAGATTAGTAAGTTTGTATATATACATATATATATATATATATATATATATATATATATATATATATATATATATATATATATATATATATATATATATATATATATATATATATATATATATATATATATATATATATATATTAGATTAGTAATTTGCATTTTAAAAATACTTTTTTATATCTATCAACATTCCTCTTCAATACTTTACAATAATAACATAAACTCACCCAAAATTTTACAAGAAAAAATAGATGCTGTGGACCTTTATCATAAAATTCTTTAAGCCCCCCTTTTTTTTCTGGAAACTTATCATATATTTGTCGAATATCAATGGCTTCTAAGTTTGGATCTTCAAAACTTCTTTGTGAACCAATATGAACAAACAAATGTTTGTGGTACTATAAAACAAACAATTAACTATATAAATTAAAAAAATTGAACAAAATAAATTTTATCAAGTATTATTATTAATAATGAGTTAATAATTAAATAAGTGAGTCTAAATATAACTTCAGTTATAAAGTTATGAAATTTTTAAGAGCTTCACTTTTTTATTGTAATTAACTTATTAAATAATGTATTGACCGCTATAAACACTTTCCCATGGAATAAACAATAGATGTAATAGCTTAAATACCGTTTCCGGTTGTTCAAGTCGTTGTTGGTCAATATAAGCAGAAAAATCAATTAAGCGCAGAGGCATTTGTGTCGTTGATACTCGAGATTGCCATGAAGAACTGTGATTAACATGAGGGTTAGAAGAGCCATGTGGTAAAGAACTTGTCTATGAAATAGGAATATTTATAAATCTAAAAAGAGTATAAACTTAAAAATAATATTGATGTTATTTAAACAAACCATGTGATGAGCAGTAGGTGAAGAAGAGCTGCCAGGTGGGGCATTTGAAGATCGAATTATATTACCAGATTGTGAAATAGATGTTGCATGTGTAATAGCATTTGCATAATAAGCTCCTGCAGAAGTGTATGGAAAACCAATAGGTGGCGGAGGAATCGGAAGTCCAGGTTGTGGCAATCCAGGTGCCCAATACTAAAGTATAAAAAGAGTTTTGTTAATTGCAAATTTTATATACATTTTGACATGCTAATTTCATTAAACTCAATTTTTTTACATTACTCTTATTACAGAATTGTTGTGAAATTACTGTTAAATTATTGTACTTTTATATATTGTATAACTACTGTACTTTTATATACTACATAATTGTTATATCTTTATATACTGTATAACTACTGTACTTTTATATACTACATAATTGTTATATCTTTATATACTGTATAATTATTGAATTTTTATATACTGTATAATTATTATACTTTTATATGCTGTATAATTATTATATTTTTATATACTGTATAATTATTATACTTTTATATACTGTATAATTATTATACTTTTATATACTATATAACTATTGTACTTTTATATACTGTATAATTATTACACTTTAAATTTAATTATTTAATCATTGTATTACTAAACTTATAAAACTTAAAACAAAATAAAAATATCAGCACTAATATTTTTTTTACATTTATTTTAAAATACTAAGTAAACAAAAATGTATTTTTGTGATATGTTCAAAATAAATGCTTAATAATTTAAAAAAAATAAGTAAGCCATAAGAGTAATAAGCAAACAATAAGATGGATTAAGTAACTCTTAAATAAGCAAAATATAAGATTATTCCAGGTAAGCTATAAGGGTAATAAGCGAACAATAAAAAAACCGTAAAATTTTTTAAAATCATAATATTCTATTTAGGTTATAGAATAGATAGTTTTATTCAAAAATAATGAAAATAGTTTTTGACTTTTAGTTAAAGAAACTTTAATGTAAAAAAATAAACCATAATATAATAACATAACTGTTTTAAAGTTTTTTTCTAAAGGATTAATACTAAATGTATACAAATAATAAAAAATTTAGTTCAATGATATTTTTATTCAATCATTTGGTTGATATTTGATTTCAAGTTTTAGTTAACCAAAAGCTTGATTTAACACAAGCATAAGATATCAAAAAAATTAATTTTCTTAAAATTCTTGTTAAAACTGCAGATTGATTCCATAGATTTCAGAACTAAAGTTCAAAACCCTAGCGTAGACACAATTTAAGCAATATCAGAAATAAATAAACAGAAGAACATATAAAAAAAAAAGGAAAAAAAGAAAAAGAAAAAAATATAAATGAACAAAAAGATTTTTAGGAATAATGACTACGTTATATCAGATTTCAATTACAAAAAATTTAAAACTATCAATATATACCCATGTATAACTCCTAAATACCATGTATATTAACTCCTTAATACCATGTATAACTCCTTCATGTATAACTCCCTAATACATAGAATAAATCTCTTGATAGAAAACTCTTGAAATCAAATTAGAAAAAGAAAATTTATAGAAGGTTGTTTTAATTTTTTTTAACTTTCAAATTTATGATGACTAAAGAAAAAGATATACCCCAAGAGGTGGACTTAAATTCATTTCTCTTTTAACTGCAACTGAATCAACACCTTGAAGACCAAGTTTTGAGTGTATAGCACTAACTGAAACAATCTGTGGTGATGTCATTGAATTCATAGGATGAATACCAGCTTTGTCTTTAACATGAGGATCCTGTTTAAAAGATTTTAAAATTACTAATAAAACATAACTAAACTTTGTACCTTAATAAAATGGAAGAAAAAGTAAATAGAAAAAAATAAACCTTTCTTCTGGCCAAAACTTGAATATGACTAGATACCTATTAAAATTTTGGAAATATAATTCAATCTTCAATTTGTATATATTCATATATATATATATATATATATATATATATATATATATATATATATATATATATATATATATATATATATATATATATATATATATAATATATATATATATATATATATATATATATATATATATATATATATATATATATATATATATATATATGAACATATGTCCTTAAAATATAAACCATTAAAATAAAGTGAGTATTCATATATATATATATATATATATATATATATATATATATATATATATATATATATATATATATATATATATATATATATATATATATATATATATATATATATATATATATATATATATATATATATATATATATATATATATATGAACATGTGTCCTTAAAATATAAACCATTAAAATAAAGTGAGTATTCAAACTACATGTAGTTACCATGAACAATATACTTGGATAGTTTTGATGGTAGTTTTTGTTGCAATCCATTTAAAAAACAAAAAATTAAACTTTAAGGTTAATTAAACTTAAAACATATTGACATTATCATTACTCAGAGAATTCAGTGTTACTGCTCCAACTACTTAGTGTTACAATTTCTCAGAGAATTCAGTGTTACTGCTCCAACTACTTAGTGTTACAATTTCTCAGAGAATTCAGTGTTACTGCTCCAACTACTTAGTGTTACAATTTCTCAGAGAATTCAGTGTTACTGCTCCAACTACTTAGTGTTACAATTTCTCAGAGAATTCAGTGTTACTGCTCCAACTACTTAGTGTTACAATTTCTCAGAGAATTCAGTGCTACTGCTCCAACTACTTAGTGTTACAATTTCTCAGAGAATTCAGTGTTACTGCTCCAACTACTTAGTGTTACAATTTCTCAGAGAATTCAGTGTTACTGCTCCAACTACTTAGTGTTACAATTTCTCAGAGAATTCAGTGTTACTGCTCCAACTACTTAGTGTTACAATTTCTCAGAGAATTCAGTGTTACTGCTCCAACTACTTAGTGTTACAATTTCTCAGAGAATTCAGTGTTACTGCTCCAACTACTTAGTGTTACAATTTCTCAGAGAATTCAGTGTTACTGCTCCAACTACTTAGTGTTACAATTTCTCAGAGAATTCAGTGTTACTGCTCCAACTACTTAGTGTTACAATTTCTCAGAGAATTCAGTGTTACTGCTCCAACTACTTAGTGTTACAATTTCTCAGAGAATTCAGTGTTACTGCTCCAACTACTTAGTGTTACAATTTCTCAGAGAATTCAGTGTTGCTGCTCCAACTACTTAGTGTTACAATTTCTCAGAGAATTCAGTGTTACTGCTCCAACTACTTAGTGTTACAATTTCTCAGAGAATTCAGTGTTGCTGCTCCAACTACTTAGTGTTACAATTTCTCAGAGAATTCAGTGTTGCTGCTCCAACTACTTAGTGTTACAATTTCTCAGAGAATTCAGTGTTGCTGCTCCAACTACTTAGTGTTACAATTTCTCAGAGAATTCAGTGTTGCTGCTCCAACTACTTAGTGTTACAATTTCTCAGAGAATTCAGTGTTACTGCTCCAACTACTTAGTGTTACAATTTCTCAGAGAATTCAGTGTTACTGCTCCAACTACTTAGTGTTACAATTTCTCAGAGAATTCAGTGTTACTGCTCCAACTACTTAGTGTTACAATTTCTCAGAGAATTCAGTGTTACTGCTCCAACTACTTAGTGTTACAATTTCTCAGAGAATTCAGTGTTACTGCTCCAACTACTTAGTGTTACAATTTCTCAGAGAATTCAGTGTTACTGCTCCAACTACTTAGTGTTACAATTTCTCAGAGAATTCAGTGTTACTGCTCCAACTACTTAGTGTTACAATTTCTCAGAGAATTCAGTGTTACTGCTCCAACTACTTAGTGTTACAATTTCTCAGAGAATTCAGTGTTACTGCTCCAACTACTTAGTGTTACAATTTCTCAGAGAATTCAGTGTTACTGCTCCAACTACTTAGTGTTACAATTTCTCAGAGAATTCAGTGTTACTGCTCCAACTACTTAGTGTTACAATTTCTCAGAGAATTCAGTGCTACTGCTCCAACTACTTAGTGTTACAATTTCTCAGAGAATTCAGTGTTACTGCTCCAACTACTTAGTGTTACAATTTCTCAGAGAATTCAGTGTTACTGCTCCAACTACTTAGTGTTACAATTTCTCAGAGAATTCAGTGTTACTGCTCCAACTACTTAGTGTTACAATTTCTCAGAGAATTCAGTGTTACTGCTCCAACTACTTAGTGTTACAATTTCTCAGAGAATTCAGTGTTACTGCTCCAACTACTTAGTGTTACAATTTCTCAGAGAATTCAGTGTTGCTGCTCCAAAGAAAGCTTAATTTAGTAACTGTAGTTAAACTTTGCAGAGAATATCAAAAAACATTGTATCAAGAAAATATATATAATTATATTGTATAAAAAAAATAATATAATTATGTTGTATAACCAACAAAAAGAATATTATGAAAGTGATCAATGTAATCATTTTAGTTAAAACGAATTTTTGAGTTTCTTCATATTTATTAACTACAAGATTGAGAATTTAATTTGATTGAACTTAAAACAAAATGGTATCCTTGTTGGAGGTGCATCAGTTTACATTAAGTTTGTGTTTGGATGTACCACCAACATGCAAAACTTTTAGCATTAAAAATATGTCATCTCAAGTTATAAAGATTTCTTGATCATAGTTGTACTTAATCTAACAATTAGACTGCATGCTGCACAGTTATAATAACTTCCAGTTGTAATAGACTGCATGCTGCACAATTGTAATAACTTCCCAGGTATAAATATACTGAAACGGTTACTACTCTAATTGATAAGTACATCATTAAAATTACCTTCAACCAATAGAAAAAAAGCTAACAAAAAACATAACTTAACTCCAGTAACTACTCTAGTAAATGTTTTATTTCAAAGGTTTATCAACAAGTAGACCAATTAAGAGACCATGACTATGTAACCACAAGTCAAGCAGCTTATTTGAAAGGAAAAACTACACTACCATGCAAATGTATTTTAATATCGCTAGTCTTTTAAATTTAAGATGCTGTACAAGGATTCTATTCAAACAACAGTCAAGCCATATTGTTTTTTTTTGTTATTTACTATTTACATTTAGAAATTGAGATAAAATATAAGTGTTATCTCAGATCATCTGCATCACAATGTAAACTCAGTTCACTTTTAAATTGAAATTTTAAAACTTCTATGAAATGTTAAAAAATTTAAAAGGTAACAGCTTACTTTAACCATTTTATAAGCTTTTTGTGGTGCAGGTTCTTAATACAAAAACTATAAATTTATCTAACAATTTGTTGAAGAACAAGATCATAAAGAACAAGATCATTAGGTACAAAATGATTAAGAGTTGAAATGTGTAGAAACTTTCTATACATTTAAATTGATACAATTCTATTGCATTGTAAAATTTAAAATTTGAAGAGTGTTATGCACTTATTAAAAACAACAAGAAATCATAATTTTTTAATAACATCATTACTAACCACAAGAATTTCATTTGACATTCTTTGACATTCATTTGACATAAAAAATGTAAATTTTAACAATACAGCTATCTTGTATGTTGCTTTTCTTACGAAATCAACTTTCTAAATTCACTTTTTTTTTTTTTTTTTTTGAGGTTTTCAGGTTGCCAATATTTCTATTAAAAAATTTCATAAAAAATTATTTTACTAAATCAACTATAAAGTTATCTGTGACGAATAAAATGTGTATTCAATGTAGTTAAGGAGAGATCGGGAAAAAAATATAGCTTAGTACCTTTTGCTTTCAAAAATTGCTGTTTTATTTTGTGTGCGTTTTGATTGGTTGTTTTTTTAAAAAAAATCATGAAGCTCGTTGTTTTATTTTGTTTACAAATATTCAGTGATTTTATTATCTGAGAGTTTGAAGTTTTAGCTTAATACCATGGGGCATAAGTTATATAAATACTGAAACGTTTATGTTTAATAATTTATTCAAATGACAATAAAGAGATTATGGTAGTAAATGAAAACTAAATGTAAATGAAAACTAAATGGAAAACTTATTTTAATGCTGTAAACAAAAAGTCATTTTACTTTCGAATGAAAGAGACATTTTTGAAATGTAAATACTTAACACATTTGTTTCAGCTGTGTTTATGACGCTGCCCCGTCACATTTTATGTATTTTAGTAGTAGTTTTGTTTTGCTTGATGCTATGGTTAAAAAAGATTTATAAAAAAATAATAAATTATATAAGAAAAGCTTAAATTCTACTTTTTAAAAATATATAACAGTAATAGTCAAAAATAAGCAGAAAACACAAAAAATTTAAGTTTAAAAATGTAAATTTTTGTTTTGATAAAATGCAAATTGTTCGGAACTCTACTTAAATAAGTTGAGTAGTTCTTCTGATACTTTTAAAAATAATATGATCTTTAAAGTATGAACAAAGCATGTTTTTGCGATTAGAGATTTTACTTTTAAGAAAAACCAGAAATTTCAACTGTCAAATAAGGATAACATTTAAAAAAAAAAACCTTTGAAAATGACACATTGTGTGTTATTTAAACTTGCTGTAATGTGTATTTTTCCATTAATAATATACTATTTATGTGATATGCTAAGTAACAAATTAAAAAAACTAACCTGTTTTCGAGAACGTGTCTTTCCTGTACGTAATTTTATATATCTTGCTATAAGCTCATTCCTTCCTAAACACAATAAATAAAAAATAAATAAAATATATATATTTTCTCAATTCCAAGGGCTGTATATATATATATATATATATATATATATATATATATATATATATATATATATATATATATATATATATATATATATATATATATATATATATATATATATATATATATATATATATATATATATATATATATATATGTATATATATATGAACATATATATATATATATTTTGCCAACTTGATGCCGACTTCTAACAGTTTAAGGTCGCCAGTTTATTGCTGACCTTAAACTGTTATTACCTCGTTTTTCCTAATTCTGAGGGCTGCATGCATATATATATATATATATATATATATATATATATATATATATATATATATATATATATATATATATATATATATACACAAACACACACACACACACACACACATATATATATATGCGGTAGTAGTGTAGTGGTAAAACACCCGCTTCATAAGCGAGAGGTTCTCAACTTGTTTCTCTGCTCAGCAGCCTTGTTTGTCAAGGTTCGTGTTTTGGAGTTATAGAGTTGAGAGAGGGTTATAACCACTATTAAGTAGCCTCCTTTCTGTAGTGGCCTTCTCGGCCTTGAAGAGGTGAAATAAAAAAAATATATATATACACATTATAGAGGATATAGATATGCATTTGCTGAGATTAATTCTTGCTGATTTTTTTCCGAAAAATAAGAAAAAAACAAAGAATATTGAAAAAACTTATCGCTTCATTAGACCGAACCATCATTCAATGTAATTGAAACTCTTTATATCAATCAATGTTCTCTCTATATCAATCAATGTATATACTGAGGACCCTGACATTTATAAGTTGCATGCTATGTTTTTAAAAAAACTATAGACAAAAAAAAATTTTAATTCAAAACAATGGATATTTTTGAAACCAGTATATCAAATATAAAGCAGTTTAGTAAAACTTAATGTCAACTTTTTGGTCAATAATTTAAATAATAATGAAAAGATACTTTTGAAAAAAAATGGTTATGAATTCGGGCATTAAATAAGAAAAATATTTACAAAATCAGAATTTACTTTCATTTCTATTTTTTCTTATTTGAACTATTATTTATCTTTTATAATTTGTTAAGATAAAGATAAAGATAAATAAATATATCATAAGTATAAATTATAATTATTCCTATATTTATTATTATAAATATTCACATAAATTTTTAAAATTATAAAGTTACAATATTTAAAGTTAGTTAGAGTAATAATATTTAAAAAACACTAAAACTTATTATCAATCAAGACTCATAAACTTAGCTTCATTCATAGATTGAGATAAATATTATTCCTAAACAATATTTAGCATATAACATCAATCAAAAACATCTCACATTTCATAAAAGTAAAACTATCAAATATTGCAAAAACCAAATTGCTTATAGTAGACCTCAATACCCTTAAATAAATCTAAGCTAAAAAGCATGACATTTAAAAAAATTTTGAAAATAAAAAACTATTTGAAAATTTAGAAAAGTTGAAAACCACCATTACAAAATATTTTTTCAAATTTCTCTTGTCTTGTTGAAAATTACCAAATACTTGTCTTGTTGAAAATTACCAAATACTAAGGTCAGGTCAGGTTTTCCTGCTACTGGTAACATGTAACCCAGTACAACCTGCTCCATGTCCTGCTGCCTTGTAGGATACGCTTTTTTAGGCAAAGGCTAGGAGAAGTTAACTCCGAATTAAAACACCCCCTGCCTTGGGGCTCTTGGTTGAGTAAAGGCTAGAGATGGTGTCTCGATAAAAATACTCATCTTGGGCAGATGTTACATGCATCCAGCTGCTGTCTTGTAGAAGGCCTCCTAGGCAAAGACTTAAGGGGTAAACAGATTCTATCTGTTGACCAGCCTCGCACCCCTTCCTCATCTATTAGGCTGGCGCAGATGTATTTTTAATACATTGTTTCCAGTTTAGGCTGTTGAACGCTGGATCTTCTTGACTCAATGCGTGGGTATTGCTTGTGTCTCTATTTTTATGACTGGGCAACTCATTCTATTATCTCCTAATGAGGGTACAGCTCTAAAACTCAGTTTTATGGTTCTGAGGCCGGCTGGTAGTCAGGTTTCCCGAACTCTGTGGTAGCTCTCAGAGAGGCTGATTCCATCAACAGCTGAAAAATATCAGAGTACTAACAGTGCCATGTTGCGCATGGATGGTGTCCCTGTTTGTACTTTTGGTGTGCATTGCAGAGGCCACATTTGGAGCCCTTTGTTATGGCTTAGGGTTTATTAATAGTAATGAGGCTATTGCTTAGTTGTTAAATAGTGTACTGAGTACTATCTATACTTGAGTCAAGTTCTTTATAAATTTAAAATGACTAAAGTACCTAAAACTAAAAAACACAAAAAACCATCGTCATCACCAAGTTCTCTAAACCTATCATTTACTAATATTCGTGGTCTTCGAAGTAACTTTTCTTCTGTTGAGTCTTATCTCTTGCAAAGTTCACCAGACCTACTTGCTCTTTGTGAGACTAATTTGAGTTCGGCTGTCCCATCTTGTGATCTTAGTGTTGATGGTTATCTTCCTTTAATTCGTAAAGACTCCAATAATCACATGCTTGGCCTGGGCATCTACATTCGTAAGAACTCACCCATTTGTCGTGAAACTAGGTATGAATCTACAGACTATTCATTTATGTGCTTTCGTTTAGCACAACTTCACTCTATCGCCTTTCTCTTTGTTCTATATCGCTCTCCTTCATCCCAAGATTGCACTATTCTTGATGTTATTTCTGATCAAATTGACCAAGCCCTCTCTCTTTATCCATCGGCCAATATCGTCGTTGTTGGTGACTTTAATGCCCATCACACCGATTGGCTTGGCTCTAGTGTCAGTGACTCTGCTGGCGTTAAGGCCCTCAACTTTTGCCTTTCTCAATCTCTAACTCAAATAGTCAACTTTCCAACTCGTTTTCCAGACAACCCTAATCATTTACCTTCTCTACTCGACTTATGTCTTGTTTTGGATTCTAGTCAGTGCTCAATTTCTCCACATTCACCCTTAGGTACTTCTGATCACGGTTTGATCTCTCTAAAACTATTATCAAATTCTTCTACTTCATCAGAATCCCCCTATCATCGTACCACATACAACTACCTTAAAGCTGACTGGGACTCTTTCCGTGATTTTCTTCGTGATGGCCCTTGGGTAGAAATCTTTCGTCTTCCTGCTGACAAATGTGCTTCTTACATAACTTCGTGGATTCAGGCTGGCATGGAATCTTTTATTCCCTCTCGACGATTCCAGGTCAAGCCTCACTCTTCTCCTTGGTTTTCCTCACATTGCGCTGCAGCAATTTCTAATCGAAACCGTTACTTCCATATCTATCAGCAAAACAATTCTCCAGAAAACAGACATCTGTTCACTATCGCCAGAAACCATTGTAAAAAGGTTTTGTCTGACGCCAAAGCTCGCTATTCCCAGGCCATTAAATCTCGTATCTCATCACAAAAATTAGGCTCTCGAGACTTCTGGAGAATCTTTAACAGTATCAATAATAAGGGCAAATCTGTTATTCCTTCTCTCTTGTATGGTTCAGACTTTGTCACCTCACCTAAAGACAAAGCTGAATTGTTTGCTAAGAACTTTTCATCAATATCATCTCTTGATTCCACTAGTTGCGTTTTACCTGACATAGCCGTCAAACAGGTTGATCCCTTGCTTGACATTCGCATCACTTCAGCTTCTGTATCTAAAGTAATTTCCTGCTTAGACTCTTCAACAGCTTGTGGTCCTGACAACATTCCTGTTGTAGTTTTGCAGAGGTGTTCTCCGGAGCTTTCATCCATACTTTCTAAACTATTTAACAAGTGCTTATCAGAGTCTTGTTTTCCATCATGCTGGAAAGCAGCATCTGTTATCCCTATTTTCAAAAATTCCGGAGAGCGATCTGATTCATCTAACTACCGTCCCATTAGTCTTCTTCCTGTCATAAGCAAGGTTTTTGAATCTTTAATCAACAAACACTTAATCTCTCATCTTGAATCAAATAACTTACTTTCTGATCATCAATATGGATTTCGGTCTTCTCGTTCTACAGCTGATGTACTAACAGTAATAACCGATAGGTTTTACCGTGCATTAGATAGAGGTGGAGAGGTTAAGGCTATCGCACTTGACATTTCTAAAGCTTTTGATAAAGTTTGGCATGCTGGTCTTCTCCATAAGCTTTCTTCTTATGGTGTAGCTGGTAACGTCTTTAAGATTATTGAGTCCTTTCTTTCCAATCGTAGTATAAAAGTTGTCCTCGATGGACAACACTCTTCTTCACATCCTGTAACTTCAGGGGTTCCTCAAGGTTCAATCCTTGGCCCTATACTCTTTTTAATTTACATTAACGATCTTCCAGATATTCTCACATCTAAGGTGGCATTATTCGCTGACGACACTACCATTTACTCTTGTCATGATAAGAAGCCTACACTCTCTGATTGCTTGGAGGGGGTATCTGAGCTTGAAAAGGATCTCATTTCTGCTACAGCATGGGGCTCACAGTGGCTGGTGAACTTTAATTCAGATAAAACTCAATTTTATTCGGCCAATCGTTATCGTAATAATTTAGATCTTCCTATATTTATGAATGGTAATGTACTAGATGAGTCATCTACCATTCATCTTCTAGGATTAACTCTTACTTCTGATCTTTCTTTTAAACCGTATATCAAATCCATTGCAAAATTAGCATCTGCTAAGGTTGCATCTCTTTATCGAGCTCGACACTTTCTTACTCCAGATTCTATTCTCTATCTCTATAAATCTCAAATCCGTCCCTGTATGGAATACTGTTGCCACATCTGGGGCGGATCTTCTAATGATGCTCTTTCTCTTTTAGACAAGGTGCAAAAACGAATTGTAAACATAGTTGGACCTGCTCTGGCAGCCAATCTCCAACCTTTGTCACATCGTCGTAATGTTGCTTCTCTTTCTCTTTTCTACAAATACTATAATGGGCACTGCTCTAAAGAGCTAGCGTCCCTTGTGCCATCTACTAAAATTCATTCTCGTGTTACTCGCCATTCAATTAAGTCTCATCCTTTTTCTGTGACTGTTCCTAAGTGCTTCAAAAACTCTTATTCTTCTAGTTTTTTTCCTCGAACATCAGTTCTTTGGAATTCGCTTCCTTCATCTTGCTTTCCTGATTCATATAATTTGCAATCTTTTAAGTCATCAGTCAATCGTTATCTTGCTCTACAGATTTAGTCTTTTCTCTTCCAGTAACTTCCAACTCTTATAGTGGTTGCTTGCAGCCTTGTTGGAAGTGAAGATGTTAAAAAAAAAAAAAAAAAAAAAAAAAAAAAACTTTGCATTCTGATGAAATTTGTAAAAATTACTTAGATAATATGCATTCTATTATCTTCTTTTCACTATGATACTTAATTGTAGTTTTTTAATTATTTAAAATATGTCATTGATAAGGAAATACATTTTATATTTAACTAACTACTATTTATAGTTGTCATTAGCCTAAATATATATATATATATATATATATATATATATATATATATATATATATATATATATATATATATATATATAAAATTTGGTATATATTTTCTTGTCTTACCATACATTTTTCCTTCATCAGAAAGAATTATTTTTCTTCTTCCACATGGGGGATATATTGCTAAAGCCTCTTGAAAACTTTGTTCAATGTCTGGACTCCAAACTCCCTCAGCATCAGAAGCCATTTGTTCTGGATCAGTATTCGAGACATGTGTAGACGGATCTCGACAGTTTTCCGCCATGCTTAAGTCTAAACGAGCCATGATTTATAAAAGATTTTTTTTTTAAGTTTTTTTTTTTTAAAAAAATTTGATTGTGAAATTAATTATTAATGGTGTTGCATGATGATTATTAATAATGCATAATCATTTACAGACGAAGGGTATTCAGGAAGTTATGATAAAAATGTCTAGGTATTTGAACCATTCTTTTCGGGTCAAATTAAATTTTGCATATATACATATATACATATGTATATATGCGGTAGCTTAACTTTTTGAATATATACTAAAGCAATGTTCTGGGCCGGGTTAAAATAACCATAATGAATAAATTTTTTTACTTACCAAAATTTTAAAATGCGATAAAAAATTTAGAACATTATGTTTTATCGAAGACAAGTTGTCAACTTCAGTATAAAAATGTGAACAATTATAAAACTTCAAAACTTTTTTCTCCAGAAGAATTCAAAGTATTTTCAAATGTTTTCTAAAAATCTTAAAGAATGTTCGGCGCGCCCAATGAATATGACAAAACTTTTTGATAATCTAAGTTTGTCACCTGGCCTCACGAATTTAGGAATAATATATAAAGTAAAACAATAAAGCTTACTTGCACAGTGTAAACAGTTATATAAACAGATTAAACAAAGCCGCACACAATTTAAAAAGTCACTCTTCACCGCTAATAAAAAAGCGTTCACGTCTCTCCTGTTTAACAATATAATTAATATAACTATTTGCATAAAAATGTTCGAATGTTTACATTGCACGTCTTTAATACCAGTATAACAATAAAATCTATTACAAAAAAAATTATCTCATCGTATGACAAAAATTTAATTAAAACTTTATTAACCTACTAAGTTTTGCACAAAGATTTATAACGCAGTGATGAATCTTCGTGTAAAACTTAGTAGGTTTATATAATTTTAGCGGAAAATATTAATATTGTACAAATAGAAAACTAAAATACTTTAAAAATAATCCAAAAAAATTTATTAGAGTAAAAATCTTATAAATGGTTTCTGTTAAATGAAACGTTGAAGGGTATAGTTCAAAATTCAAAATTTATAGTATTTATAGTAATTTATAATGGGATAGTTCAAACTTCAAAATTCCTGCAAAAAATATGTATATATGTATGTATACATATGTGTGTGTATATATATATATATATATATATATATATATATATATATATATATATATATATATATATATATATATATATATATATATATATATATATATATATATATGTATATATGTATATATATATATATATATATATATATATATATATATATATATATATATATATATATATATATATATATGTAGTTCTACAAATATACAGTAGGGTATTCCAAAAATATATCATACATTGAATTTCGATACGCGGAATACTGAATTTGGCACCATTTGTCCATAAATACCAACAAAAAAAGTCTCTAGTTAAAGCGAAAGGTTATTAGGTGAATTTACTAAGTAAATTTATTTAGTAAATTTAGTGAATTTATTAAGTAAATTTTGACTTAAAAATGACTTTATTCATATTATTTAGATTACAATTGTTGCCTAAACAAACAAAAAAATTAATGGTACGTGTTAAACAAATAAATATACTGTCGTAAAATCTTTAAATAAACTTTTTTTTACAAAATAAATCGTCAATTTTAAGAAGAAATTTTTTTTAAATGCAACAAAATGAACATTTTAGTAATGAATTTTAAGAATGCAGCATTCTTTAACGTTTGAGATAGCTAACTTCCAAACATGGAGCAAACTCCAAACATTTATATGTTTATACTTATGTCAAATAATATGCTTTGCAAAAAAATGCAATGATTGGAGCCTGGCAACAATGATTGCCGACTACCAACGATAGAGATCCAATTTTGCCGACTCCAGTTACCATTTGCTAACTGATAAAATTCGTTGGGGGGGGGGGCTAGACATCCTCTACGTCCCTCCCTCGGAATGGCCCTGCCAATATAATTATTACAAAATAATATTAAACTAAAAAATTTTAAGATCTTTCTTTGTAGCGTTCTTTGAAACCTTTTGCTGGTTCCTCTGAATTACCTAAATTACAAATACATAAAAAGTACTACTTATACATTAATAGATCAGCAAAATTCTGAAATGAACTACCTGAGCAAGTAACTTTCTATTCCTCTGTACTTTCTTTTAAAAGTAGACAAGACTTCTGTTTGTGGAAAAAATTTTGAACAAATATTTTTAAAACTGGTTGTTTTTATTATATATATAATTATATTAAATATAAATGTTTATATTAAATATATATTATAATAAGTATTAACTGGTGTTATACTTTATATAAATAATTTACGGCTACAACTATAACAATAACAATATTAAAATGCAACGACTTCGCATTTAGAGAACGTCTTTTTCTCAACAAAAATAAATTTTTGAAACAAAAATTAAAGATGCGTACAGTACTTCAGTTTTGCTAAAATTGTTAACAATAACAAGACATTTGTAAAATGCGAAAAATGTCAACGGCTAAAGTGCGGAAATAAACAGCAAAAATAGGGTTAGATAGTTTAGTAGATATATCGAATGATTTAGGTCATCTTTGTTTGGGTGTCATCTGCAAAAAGAATGAATACTAGAAAAGAAAAACACGTCGTTGATAAAAAAAAAAGAAGAAACAAAGGTCCCTAAATAACACGTCGTTGATAAAAAATAAGAAAAAACAAATGGATCCCTAGATAACGCCACTAGTAAAGATTTCCAGGGAAGGGGCTGTCCATTAATTACGTCAACAATTTTTTTGAAATTTTTACCTCCTCCCTCCCCCTTGTCAACAATTTCCAGAGACCCCCTATAAAATAAACTATAAAATAAAACTGCATAGCTCACTGATTAGGAGGCTGTGCTCTATCTATGAATGAGTCAAGTTCTCATTAAACCCAAATCATGACCAAAGTAAGCAAAAATTTAAAACCTAAAAAACCATCCCCACCACCTAAATATTTTAATATATCTTTTACAAATATTCGCGGTCTACGAAGCAACTTTCCATCAGTTGAGTCTTACCTCCTACAAAATTCACCAGACTTTCTTGAACTCAGTGAAACAAATTTAAGTTCTGCAATTCCTTCTTCAGATGTCAGTGTTGATGGGTACTATCCTTTGATTCGTAAAGACTCCAATGGTCACATGCTAGGTTTAGGGGTTTACATACGCATTAATTCCCCTATTTGTCGTGAAATCAGGTTCGAATCTTTTGACCATTCTTTTATGTGCTTTCGCCTAGCACCTCTTCACTCTATCACCTTTCTCTTTGTTCCTTATTGTTCTCCTTCTTCCCATGATTGCACTCTTTTAGATGTTATCTCTGATCAAATTGACCATGTCCTCTCTCTTTACCCCTCTGCCAATATTGTTGTTGTTGGTGATTTTAATGCCCATCACACTGAATGGCTTGGCTCTAACACCACTGATCCTGCTGGCACTAAAGCCTTTAACTTCTGCGTTTCTCAATCTCTTACTCAGATAGTTAACTTTGTAACTCGTTTTCCTGACAACCCTAATCATTTACCTTCACTCCTTGACTTATGTCTTGTCTCTGACCCTAGCTTATGTTCAGTTTCTCCCTTTTCTCCCTTAGGTGGTTCTGACCATGCAATGATCTCTATAAATCTTTCTTCTCGTACTTCTTTTTTGGGCTCACCTTATCATCGCACCACCTACTACTACCCTAAAGCTGATTGGGATTCCTTTCGTGATTTTCTTTATGATGGTCCTTGGGCTGATGTTTTTTCTCTCTCAGCTGACAAATGCGCCTTCTACGTAACCATCCTGGATTCAGGCTGGAATGGAAGCTTTTATTCCTTCTCGTAGGTTTCAAGTCAAGCCTCACTCTACTCCATGGTTTTCTCCTTCTTGTGCGGCTGCTATATCCAATCGTAACCATTTTTTTCATCTTTTTCAAAAGAACAACTCTCTTGAGAACAAACGGCTATTTATTATTGCAAGAAATCGATGTAAAAAGGTGCTTTCTGATGCTAAACTCCATTATTCTCAGTTCACTAAATCTCGCATCTTATCGCAGACAATATTCCTATATTAAACAATATTTGTTTAATAGGTCCAGACAACATTCCTGTCACAGTCTTGCAGAATTGTTCTCCAGAACTTTCTTCAATTCTCTCTAAACTATTTAACAAGTGTTTGACTGAGTCTTGTTTTCCTGCTTGTTGGAAAATGGCATCTGTGGTTCCAATATTCAAAAACTCTGGAGAAAATTCTGACCCCTCCAATTATCGTCCGATCAGTCTTCTTTCTGTTATTAGCAAGGTCTTTGAGTCTTTGATCAACAAATTCCTCACATTTCATCTTGAGTCAAATAAACTGCTGTCAGACAACCAATACGGTTTTCGATCCTCTCGCTCTACGGCCGACTTGCTAACTGCTGTAACTGAAAGATTTTATCTTGCATTAGATGGAGGCGGTGAGGCTAGGGCTATTGCTCTCGACATATCTAAAGCTTTCGACAAAGTTTGGCATGCTGGTCTTCTCCATAAGCTTGCTTCATATGGTGTTTCTGGGAAAGTTTTTGAGATTATCAAATCATTTCTTTCTGACCGGTTTATTAAAGTCATTCTTGAAGGCCAACACTCTTCTTTATTTCCAGTAACATCTGGGGTTCCCCAAGGTTCCATCCTGGGCCCTGTTTTGTTCCTTATCTACATAAACGATCTTTCATCTAAAGTAGCTCTTTTTGCTGATGACTCAACTTTATACTCCTGTCTTGACAAAAAGTCTTCTCTTTTTGATCGCCTAGAACAAGCAGCTGATCTTGAATCTGATCTCACTTCGGTAATAGATTGGGGTTCACAGTGGCTTGTGAATTTCAACTCTAAAAAAACCCAATTGCTTACTGCAAACAACTATCGTAATATGGTCAACATTCCTATATTAATGAATGGCAATCCTCTTACTGAGTCCTCCTCTTTACGTCTTCTTGGATTATCGCTTACTACTGACCTTTCATGGAAACCATATATACAATCGATTGCTAAATTAGCTTCTGCTAAGGTTGCTTCTCTTTATCGTGCTCGCCATTTCCTTACTTCTGATTCCATTCTCTACCTCTACAAATCTCTTATTCGTCCCTGTATGGAATACTGTTGTCATATTTGGGCTGGTTCTTCTAATGATTCACTTTCTCTTCTTGACAAGGTCCAAAAACGCATTGTAAATGTTGTTGGACCTAGACTATCTGCTAAGCTTGAACCTCTTTCCCATTGTCGTAAAGTTGCATCTCTTTCTCTTTTCTACAGATACTATCATGGTCACTGCTCAAAGGAGTTATCATCTCTAGTTTCATCAACTAAAATTCATTCTCGTTTTACTCGTCATTCAGTTAAGTCTCATTCGTTTACTGTATCTGTCCCAGCATGCTCTAAAAACTTTTATTCATCTAGTTTTTTTCCCCGCACTTCAATCCTTTGGAACTCTCTCCCATCTTCATGTTTTCCTGACTCCTACAATCCTGACTCCTAAAAAATTACGTCAACTTTTGA